CTACTCTAATCTATGTGTGATGACTGTTTCCTGATCACTCTTTCTGCTTTCCATAGCCCAGCACTGCTGCACTTCCTCAGACATCAGAGTTACTCCTTCAGGGGCTCAGCCTGAGCTCCAGGTTGTTGTTTGTAGTAATATCTCTAGAGCTACCTCATTCTTGTCTTCCCCAAGCCTTACTTGCAGATGTGACACGTTGGAGACACGAGGCAAGTCCTGCAACAAGGATCTGTATTTCCAGAAGTTGATTTCTGTGCACAAAAGATCTTGAGTAGTTCCTGTCCACACTGTCAGGTGGATGAAGCTGACTCACTTTCAGGGGTGTTCACAGTTAAAAAACAACTTCTGAACTGACGTGCTCGTGGCTGGTGCAGTTCTGTGTCTGTATGGACAGCACATTTGGAAGTTCTCCAGTTCTTGCCAAGTAACTTCTCTTTGTGGAGCAACAGTTCATGGTAGCAGTGGCTTTGAGCTGTTGCCTCTTGCAGTTCCACATTGATATTTTAACATGAGGATTAATGATTTTTTCTGATTTTACGCAACAGCTCCAGAATTTTACCTCTTTTACCAAAGATCAAATATGAAATCAATCCCTTACTTCACAGTGACTTTCTATTTCTAAAACTATTTGGTGAGTGTCAGTCGGGCTTGATAGCACTTCCAGGTTGTAATCCTGGGGTCTGGAATAGTCTCTGGATTGCCCACAAGGTCTGTCCCTCTTCAGACCATGTAGCCCTTGGATTCTGAGGGATGTGGTACCTCCTGTTCCATGGACACATAAGACTAGAGGCAAGGTTTTAATTTCTTTCAGGCTCAAACAGAAATGAACAGGTTAATTTTTAGGTGCTAATAAGAATAAATTCCAATGAGATTTTTCTTTACAATTTTTCTTTTTATCTGATTTTCTAATGTCCCAGTAGAAATTTCTCAGGAGAGATTCTGGTTTTGTTGAAATCTTGGGGAATTTTGCCACTGCCTTTAAAAAAACCCTTAGGGCTTGACCTTGTGTTGAGTCTACATGATAGAAGTTTTCCTTAGGAAGAAACTTTTTCTTCAAATGAATGTGCTGCAGGGGTTTTCAGAGTCAGCAATGGCTGGTCACAAGTACTTAAATTTGTGTGTTTATAAATATGAAACTGCAAAGGTGGAAGCTTGTGATGTCTGTTTTCAGAAAGTTGAATGTTCATCATTCCTTTCTGACCTTTTTGGTGTTGTTCTGTCTTTGTCCATAGAATTCATATGTTTCACTCTTCAAATTTATGTTCATTTTATCCTTCATTTTTTTTTGTTTTTTTTTTAGGACCCAATGTTGTCTTCCAGTGTGAAAGCACCTCAGAGACCCACTATCCAAGTTTGACTAGCGTGGAGGCAGGGTGGCCAGCCCTGCTCACGTGTCTGACACAATCCTTTTGCTTCGTTTGAACGTTAGATCCAACCAAGAAATTAGGTTTTCGTGGGTTTTCTTCTAATCTACGGTTTCAGTGGATTTGTAAAAGCAGAAAGGATAGTGGGTCTTTGTGTGGCTTTCACTGCTGTTCATTCTTGTTTCCTTTAGTATTTCCTTTGGGATTGATAACCGTAGTCATTAGCATGCATATCAAGTATTGTTTGCATGGTGGGATTGCAGACACACAAAGACCCACTATTTGCACAGTTTATCTGTTTGGAATGGGCACTTGTGTTCTTTTAATGTTGTAATGTATATATTTTGCAGAATTAAAATGTTCATTGATTATTGTTCTAATGGACTTGAGTTAATCTCTTACATACTGAGCTTTTAAAATTGGGGGCCTTCATGGCTCATCCAGAAACAAACCCTACCTGTCTGCTGCTGATAGTCACTGTGATTACAAACATGCCACAGGATCTAAGGGTTAGATCTGGTGCACTCCATCCAGCCTTTTCACACCCTTTTTAACAGGGAAAAGAACTATTAGGTGTAGAGTGAAGGATATTTTAATGGTTTTTCTTCCTTCACAGTAGTACTATGGCAGGAATTCAGGTTGTTTTGGCTCAATACATTCTGTCCCTAAACAGCCTCCTTCCTTAAATTCTGATCATTCATATTTGCTTTCAGTTTTGGCAAATGTGCTCAGTTGCTGCAGTAAGTCCTTGCACAGCCTCAGTGTGACCAGGCCCTTCCCCTGCCCCTTCTTTTCATTAATAGTTCATGGTACTGAATCGTTTGTCTCTGGCTGTGGTCTGCAGTGACATTTAAAGTGCTGCTGCAAGCTGCTGCTCCTCCTCCTGGTAAACAGAGCAGCAGCCTGAGGCAGAGGTAACCTCAGTCCAGAGGTGTTGCCAGGAGAGACACTAAGAGAACCTGGAGTGAGGGCAGAGCACTGGGGTTTAGGATGGAACTGTGCTCCTCAGCCCGCAGTCCTGGCCTGTTGGAAATGCAGTGCAGTATGAGCTGCCTATGTCTCACTATGTTTGGAGGGAAGGAGGAACTTGTAACCTTGATTCCCCTTTAAATAAAAGGATTAATTTGATTCTAGACTACTACTTTGATTAAATAGTTCTGTGCTCTTGTAACAACAAGAGAGATCTCTAGACACAGTATTTAATTTAGTTGGTTTCCTGAACTTGGTTATGAAACAGCAAAGGTCACTTATGCAATCAGAAATGTTTACAAAACAAACTGCTTGTTTACTATATAGACATATATATATATATAGAGATGAATGTTGTGAAGGTACTATCAGGAAAAGGTTAATCCAGTTGCAGAGTTTTAAAAGCCTTTCTCCAAAATCCAATGTTCTGTATTTATATCCTTGATCAAATAATGTATGTGTGCCCTTTAGTTCAGAGATGTATCTTCTGTGCAATACGGACTACGCACTGTGCCTACAGAAAACTGCAAATGGATTTTTATTCTGGATGTATTTTGTCTGAACCAGTATTTTGTTATAGAATGAAATCATATTGTTGTAGGCAAATAATGTGCTAGATAATCCTTTGAGTATTTCAGATTACTTGATTTCCTTCGGAAACCACGTTGTGTTTCTACTAAAATACACTACTCACCCAGAATTGCCTTCTCTGAATTTCTGTCTTGGAAAGCCTGTTTAATGCAGGCTGAAATGTGTTGTGCTGCACCAGTGACATCGAGCAGTCACATACTGGAGTCTGAGAATTAGGTGATCTTCTAAATGATGTAATTTCTGAAAGGCAAAAAGGCACTGTTCATCTGTGGGATTTGAGCCACACTGACAATCAGTGTTCAGTCAGTTTTCCTTGAATGCCAGATTACTACTAATTGTCTTTGAAATATCAAAACTTCCCATCCTCACTGAGGTATTTGAGGAATTTTCCAAAACAAAGTGGCATTCTACTAATTTTTATTTTTTTTAACTGATACCTTTGGAGATTACAGTACTGTTGGCAAAGTTTCACACAGGTAGCCCTGTGTTGTGTAGGTATGAGCACTGATATTATTGAAACCTCTGCCTCGGAAGTCTGAACTGAAAAGTATTAAGTGAAGCATTTTGTGCTTTCACAACTGTCTTTTCATGTTTCACTATTACCTGAGTACGCTCTAAATTCTCTTAAGTGTAATAATAAATAAAATAATAAAAATACACCTTAATAATGCTGATTGAGAGGGACATAGTCCCTGCCTTCAGTATTCATCTGTATTGCAGAAGTCTGCCTAGCACAGCTCCAGCACAGTTGCCTGAGAGCTCTGCACAGTGGTGCAGAAAGAGTTGAATACACACATCAGAACTTCAAAGGAAAGACTATGCCAAGGATGTATTTACAGCAAGATTACTTTAAAATAATATTCTGTACCAATGAAGCAGTGTGGCTATTGGAAGTTGCATTTAAATCAGACTTTACTTCTAAAAATGCTACATTTTCTCTGGTTGTGTGCAGTCCACCCCTTTGTTGATAAAAGAACATAGAGTTGAGTTCAGCTGGTCATCCCAGCCAGTCAAGTAAAATCACCCTTACCTGGGTGAAAAAGGTTGGCTGTGGAGCTAAGGGCAAGGTGGAAAACAGAGTCCTTTGCTGAACTCATGGTTCCCAGGCAGGAGCTGAGAGTCTAAATGTTGCTGAGAACCAGACAAGGTTAGAAAGTAAAACTGAAGCCAATGTGGAAAGCAAAATGCACTGTTTGCTGTTGCCTGCAGTGTGGTACTTGCTAAATGTTTTCCTGTGGGCCAGCAGAGAACAGGGGCCCTGGTGTCACGGGCTGAGAACCAAACAGTGCTGTAAATGCACAAGAACTGGTACCAAAACGCTGCTTCTGTAACTCTCTGGTTTGCATAATGGACTAACAAACTACAGAAACCTGGTTTGACACAAGCTGAGTTCCTGAGCCAGAGCTGGATCCACGCAGGGAGGCCTTGTGCCACCACTGGGACCAGGGGCAGGGCTGGGTGTGTCAGGAGCCCATGGTGTGAGCACCCAGAGCTCTGTCTCCACGTGGTTATTGGTGCAGTCAGGAGCAGGAGGCACAAAGCTCCATCAGAGAGTTGCACACTAATAACTGAAACGTCTCCCTCTGGTCACTGAACATTTCTGCCATCTCAGAGCTTTGTCAGATTGTATCCCTGTGTGATTGTCCTGGGCAGGTTGGAAACACCTGTAAATAAGTCTGCTGGTAGGAATGCCTACACTCCTTGGCCTGCAGTGGGAGCTGCTGCAGGGTCCTGCTACTTCAGTGTAATGAACCCATAAAACTGCTGCATTCTGGTGTGTGCTGCCTTAAACCCCTCCTTGTCCTTCCCAAGCTTGAGTGTCACGTGTGGGATGGTTGTTGAGACATGCAAATGCAGGCTGTGCTTAGCATGAGGTAATTGTTCACCTTGGATTTGAACAAAGTTGTAAGATAACTATGCAAATGTATTTTATTAAAGGGACACATAAAAGGATCTAGTTTGTCTGTTGTGGTTTTTTGTCCATCTGGGGAGGATTTTTTTTTTCCCAGCTGAATAGCTTGGAATGAGCATTGTGTCAACTGTGATGGAGTGACTTGATTTTGCTTTTTACCTCTTGAAAATTGATTCATAAATTTCCTCTGTTGCAGCACAGTATCCTGTGTTTACTGATTAGGGGAGATTGGATAAAAGTTTTTATTATTTCTCCCAGGGCCTGATGGAAACTGCCTTTCCCACAGTAGCAGATTTCTTGTATTTGTTCCTGTTGTGGGTTTCAGAGGCTGCTGGTGGCTCCAGGAGTGACAGGAGTGTGTTGGCTTTGTGTGTGGCTGCAGAGCTTGCAGCTGGCTGTGCTGGTGTCCCCTGATGCCATCAGCTGCTCTCTGGCTGTACTGAAGGGACTGTGCCAATGCCAGCCCATGGTCCTTAAGGGGACTCGTGGCCTTTCTATGGCAGGCTGGGAAAATGGAGGCAGGAAAAAGACCCTCAACCTTTACCTGGTTTTCCCAGCCATGACAACTGGCTTCAGAGTCAAACAAACAATCAAAACAAATAAACAGCCCCTTCCAAAAATAATCCAACCCTAAACAAACCAAGATATTTTCTTTAAAAAAGCAATTTATATAGAATCATAGAATCATTAAGGCTGAAAAAGACCTTTAAAATCATCAAATCCAATCATTAATGCAGCACCAATAAACCACATCCTAAAGTGCCATATCAGTATGGTTTTTAATACTTCCAGGGATGGTGGCTCCACCACTTCCCTGGGCAGCTTTATAACCCCTTCCATGAAGAAATTTTTCCTAATATCAAATCTAAACCTCTATCTCTAAATAGTCTTCGTTGGCCACCCAAGGCAGTTAGTGCCTCTGGTGTAGCTACATCCTTCCAGGTGAGTGCCTGAGCTCCTCTTGGAGGCTTGAGATGTCACTTTTAATGGCTTTTTTCCCCCTGTCCATTGAGTGGGGAAGTCTGTTGGGAAAATAGTGTTAGATGTTACTCATCTGTCTTTCACTGGAGGACTTCCTTTCTTCAGAAACTCCCTCTCTTCCCCTTGAATGGGCTTATACCCAAAAAGTCAGTAATTGGGGAAGTTTTCTCCCCCAGCCCCCTGTGTTTTTCAGGGCTTTGAATCTGTGAAACTCAGTAGTTTTTCATACAGGGCTTATGTTAGTAGGAAAAAATGCTCCTTGTTCAGGTATATTTGGAAAGTATAATTTTAAATACTACCTCAGAGACTGGGATTTCCTGTTTATAAACTCTCCAGGTTGTTTTACCCTGGCAGCTGCTTCCTCAGCTCAGAAAGGAGGATTTAGCCCAGAGGGCACCACAGTCAGTGTGGGCTTCTCTCTGTTGCTGTGCCCTGAGTTTCCAAGGTTCCAGACACGCCCTGCTCGCTCTGGGGAGTGTTCTGGAGAGGGAGCTGGGCAGGCTGTGCCCCAGGCTGACTGAAAGCCTGGCACTGCCTGCTCTTGGTGGGAGAGGCAGGCTGGCTTCCCCTCCAGAGAGCAGGCATCCCTCTTGGTCAGCAGAGCAGATGAGGAACTGCAATTCCATGCTGCAGACACTCCCAGAAATCCCACTGCTCTTCCTGAGCTGCCTGGGGAGCTTGGGATGAAACTTCACCAGAGGGAAGCCAAGCCAAGAGCTTTCTGCTGCGAAACAAGGCAGTTTTACTGCTTCCATGCACATTCCTGGCTGTTAAACCAGCAGAAAACTGTTTTCTTTTCCCCCCTTGGGATTTGTTTGCTGCCAGCATGTGAGCAGGGAGTCAGATAAGTGCCAGAACTGATGCAAGGAAAGGAGGAAACAGCAGTGGGGGAGGAGAAGGGGTAGAGATGTAGCTGCACCCCTTCAGCATCAGTGAGCCCATGGGTTGCTGTGGCCACTTAGGGAAAACATTGGCAAATGCACTTGTTAGGCTGGTTTGTTCTCCTTTCTATTTTTTGTTTTTCTCTTCAGACTCAAATGCCCAAATTCACCCTCTAAAATCAAATGTAGCAATTGCATAATGTGTTTTTATGCCAGTATCATCAGACCTATCAAAATTAGGAGTATTTTCACTATTAAACACTAGTGTTTAAATAAAATTACAAGAATGAAATTATATAAAATACTAAATACAAAGTAGCATTCATCCCTTCATCCCAGAAGCTGGCAGTCCAAACACAAGATTAGCACAGAAGCCAGTTAATGTAACTGAATTTTTGCATCTGATAACAAATTTATAAACCAAATGTCTTTTAATGCATAAAAAAGCCCTTTTCTCTCCCAGGCTTGGCCCCAGCTTTCAGTGGTCAGCATGAGACAGACCCAAATCCCAGCATGTGGGTTGTTCCAGCAGCTGGGACAAGCCAACAGGAGCTTCAGTCCATCCCATTCTGTCACAGGAGTGCACCTTGCAGTAGGAAAGGGAGCCACTGGCCAAAGCTGAGACTTCCAAATCTGGACAATTAATGCCTGGTTACTGTGCAAGCCCTTGGATTGTCCTGAAATTTCATGTCTTAGTAAGCAGGTGGGCTTAACCTCAGTCCTGTACAGACTGAAGAGTGACACAAGAATCCAGAAGTAGCACATTGGCCACAGACTGTCTCAACGGACCAAGACATCAAACTTTGCAGGAATCACTTTTATCTGTAACTTCACTTCTTTTTCTCATCTAATTTTGGCCTGGTTGTAGCCTTGGGGATAACTAAGGCCAGAAGGAGTATTCTGTGTGATCAAAAGAGTTGCAATCCCTCATTTCTTCTTAAAAAGTGATGTTTCTTCAAACCTTGTCAGAAAGTTTAAGATCTGTGATCCTCCTTAGGGTGCAAAACCGAACTGAAAAGTCCTGATTTTCAGTCTAGCTTTGTCTTTGCTGCTGTTTTACTTCTTTGTGTTGTTCAAAGGGTTTCCTTGTTACGGTGTCCTAAAATTTCACTTGGCAAGAGTCTCTCTTCTGCTGACAGTTGCTCTTTCCACCTTGATGCTGGTGTAGCTGGAAGCTCAGGAGCCTGTGAGGTTCCCATTAGGCCACTGTCACATCAAGTCCAGCCTAATGTTTAGTGTTTCTTGTTTTTTTCCCTCAAATTTATTACTAACTCGCCTTCCAATGAGCAGATCTGTACCTTGGCAGTGAATAGTGTCATCCTTGTGTGCCAGGAGTGTCAGGGTGACAAGGGAGACACAGCCCTTCCTGCTGTGGGTCATTCTGCTTTTCACAACTCCTGTGAACCTTCATGAAGTATTGTTCCTCTAGAACTGCTGGATCAAAGTGAGTCCCTGTGATGTCCTTTCTGCTGTCCTGCAAAACCCACGGTTCACCTGGTATTGCAGTCTGATGCCATCACATCCAGTGATAGATGGATGTTCTCAAACACTCTGTAATTGTTCCTTCTTTTTTCCTTTTCCCCCACCCTGCTGCTTTGCAATATTCTGCTGTGTGATGGCTGACAGAGGGATCAGATTGACTTTCTGTGCTCTCCTTTACCCAGCTAAACTCATTCACCACTCTGGCTTTACCAGTTTTTGGTTTGGTTACTGAAGTTTGAACACTTGTCTTGTTTACTAACATCCAGTAGAGATAGTTGTGTGAAGCTGCAGGGTTTGCATGTTCTGACCAAAACTTGGGGTTTGTGTCATGGACTGTCAGTGTGTTCCTATGCATGATTTTGATTCTTCATCTTTGATGCATGAAAATAATTCAATATATTTCCAGCTCATTTTGAGAAAAATAAAAGTTGTGTAGCTGTGAGTTATACAGCTACAATGTTGTGTTACAGCTTTACAAATTTGTAGTGGTGGTTTCTATCATAAACCAATAACTAAGGCAGAGAACTTCAGAAATAGGGTAGGGATTAAAGGTGCAATGTCCTAAGTCAGGACCAGCCACATTTTCTATGACTTCATCTCACAAAAGACAACTTAGAATTACAGAATCATTAAGGTTGGAAAAGACCTTTAAGATCATAAAGTCCAAAAAGACATTGCTCAAAGTAAGGCAAAATCACAGTTTCAAATTGGTGTGCAGAAGAGATGAGAAAAGTCATGAGACAAATGGAGTGGCAAGTCAGGAGCTCTTACTCTGCCTCACAGTACAAGGGGTGTTCAAAGAAGTAAGAAGGTGATAGACTGAAAAGTGACACAAAGGAAGGGGGGTGATTGCTATGTTCACTTGATTTTGAAACCTGCTGCTGCTGCAGAGAGGGTTTACCAGTGCCTGTATAGTCTGAGCCACAGACTGCTGAATGCTGGTGCAGTTTTGTTAATTTATCAGATTTAATGCCTTGAGTGGGATCTGAACTCCTGACTTACTTCCTGCAGGGTGTGCTGATCTCCAGAGCCTTGACACCATGCAGCCCATGGAAAGGAAAAGGCAGGGCTACATTCATGAGCTCATTCAGACAGAAGAAAGGTACATGGACGACCTGCAGCTCGTTGTGGAGGTGAGATGTCTTGGATGTGAAAGTGCATTTGGAAAAAGAACACCTCTATACTGAGTAATAACAATAAAGGGATTCTTATGAATTGTGAAATGATGGAAGAAGAAAGGTGTGCAGTGAACGATATGTGGTTGCTCACCAGGCAAAAGCACCACTTTGTGAAACCCATCAGCTTACAAAGACCTTCCTGATTTCCAAATCGTGTTCTTGGGTATTCTGGCTCAGTAAAAAGATGATGGGTTGGGGCCAGGTGTCGAGCAGAGCTGCACAGAGCTGTAGAAGCACCACAAATCTTACCATGTGCCTTCTCCCCAGTTTTATTTCTGGAAACAAGACCACCTCCCTCAGCAGAGTATTAAGTGCTCTTGGGTGTCCAGCTTGACCTCTTTGTACAGAACAGTGGTGTGGTGAAGTGTGGCACATGTTAAATAGTCACATCACAGGGTGCTCTGCTCCCCAGAGATGAGGTGCTGAGAGCAGCACACAGGGTGGTTCTGCACACAGGGTGACCCTGAGTGCTCTGGGTCAGGGGAGAGGAGCAGTGCCTGAGTGTAATTTGTGTAGTGATTGATCCTGAATCTCAGCTTCTGCTGAGCTGTCAGCCTGCAGGTCCCTGTGCTTGTCCTCACTTTGCAAGTGCTGGTGCCAGTGTCAGAATGGGGTCACACACTCAGGGGAAACAGCTGTCACAAGTGCTAGTAAGAAATTGCTTTTAACTGCTGAGAAATTAGACACTAAGCATTCAAAAAAAATCACTGCTGGGCTAAGCAAGAGGTTGAGCTGATTCTGTTCTCTGAAGAATTGCTCATTTTTTGGCTGTAGGTTTTCCAAAAACCAATGGCTGATTCAGGCTGTCTCACAGAAGGAGAAATGGGGCTGATCTTTGTTAACTGGAAGGAACTCATCATGTCAAATACAAAGTTATTGAAGTGAGTACTTACCTGCAGTCTTACGTTTTCCTTTTCATTATTCTGCCATTCTTTCCCCAGGAAGTTTGCTGGTTTACAGTCAATATTGTGTCCTTGCTGATTATTCCCTGTGGATGCTTGCATTCAGAACAGCTGAATGCAGTCAGACTGCTTCAAAAGGAGCTGTAATAAGAGAGAGGGAGAAATAAACAGCAAGAATAGATGCACATTTGCTGTAATATCTTAGAAACAGGCCCTACACAAAAGTAGGGAGCTTTTCTTCCTAGTTTTCTGCAAGGAAACCTTTTATTCTCTAAAAATAATCTTTAGAAAGATACAGTGGCTAGTAATTCACTGAATGGGATGCTGGTTGAATGTACAGATTGATGCTGATTGTCCCAGAAACCTCAAAGGAGAGGCCCAGTCCCCCAGACTCTGTCAGGGAGATGGCTCAGCTCAGGGTGTTGTGTCAGGGTGACTTCCTGGGGTTTCAGGCAGGACCCTGGCACCTCCTGGAAGTGCCTTGCTGTGTAAGGAAATTCACATGCCAGGTTTGTGTCCTTTCAGAGGTGGATCTGTAAGGGCTGTGATTTAGGCCCACAGACTTGGCAGCAAAGTTGGATGTTGATCTCTCCTCGTCCGCAGAGCCTTGCGGGTGCGGAAGAAAACCGGAGGCGAGAAGATGCCGGTGCAGATGATCGGGGACATCCTGGCAGCAGAGCTGTCCCACATGCAGGCCTACATCCGCTTCTGCAGCTGCCAGCTCAACGGAGCCTCCCTGCTGCAGCAGAAAACTGACGAAGATGCTGATTTCAAAGACTACTTAAAGGTACCTGACTCAGTGGCTTTTGTGCCCTCTCCTTTCCTCAGTGACAGGAGCCTGTCTAACCAGCAACGACCACATCAAAATAACTCAGAAGAGAATCCTGCAAAAATAGCCAAGAAGCTTCCAAGGTGTATTTACATGGTGACCATGGCTAACAGTGGGTGTGCTCCTTGTAACACTGTCTTTCTCTCTAGCTAATTTATTTAGGCCATAAAAGGAAAATTGCCAGAACAGTTGACAGCAGGCATTTCTTTCTTTCATTGCTTTGTTCTTTTTCAACCTGAGTGGAGCCTGTGTGTCAAAATAAAAGGTGGAACAGTTTTGAATGTAAGGATTCTGCATGGACAATGACCTTGTGATTTATGCTGACAAAGCATCTGGGAGCAATGATACTGCCAGCTTTCCTGTTTGTTCTAGATACAAGTAGTGTTTGCTTACTGAGAAAATCCAAGATCTCTTGGAATGCTTGGAAAAATGAATCTGATCAGAGATTTTTCAGTATTCAGTGCCAGTGATGCAACTGTTTTCTGATGACTAATGCAGTGTCTCTGCTAAATCTCTGGGTTGCACCACAGAAACTTGCCCTGGACCCTCGCTGCAAAGGAATGCCCCTCTCCAGCTTCCTCCTGAAACCCATGCAAAGGATAACGCGCTACCCCCTGCTCATAAAGAGTGTGAGTACCCCAAGCGAGGTTTTGTAGGTGAACGCTTTGAGTTTGATCTCCACAGCAAAAGCCAAGATAAAGGCTTGTCCCTTTATGGGGATTGCTTTGACAGGCTTACCTCTGTTTTTATCTTGCTTTCTCCCCTCTTTGATCCACGCCAGATTCTAGAGAACACTCCAGAGAACCACCCGGATCACAGTAACCTCCGGCTCGCGCTGGAGCGTGCGGAGGAGTTGTGCTCCCAGGTGAACGAGGGCGTGCGGGAGAAGGAGAACTCGGACAGGCTGGAATGGATCCAGGCCCACGTCCAGTGTGAAGGCCTTGCTGAGGTACCTGCACTGATGCTCTGCAGGGCTGGGGCTTTTCAGAGTCATTTCAGCAAGGCTGGGGAGGGAATGGGAGTCCTTGCTGACATCCCTTATTGGAACATGATCCACTGCTGAGCTCTAGGCAGATAAGCTTTTACTGAATTCTAGTCACAGCCATAATGTGATGAACCATTGTTTTTGCATGACTGTAGTGGCAGAGAAATCTTGATTTATCAGCTTAAAAACTGGAGCCATTTAGACCATTAAACAGACAAGAATAACTCTTCTCTCTGAACTCCTGATCATGCTGCCACTGGGCTAAGTCAGGCGTTACTATGGAGGATTTCACTTAGTGTGTGTTTCCCAGGGTTTTCCTTCAAGCAGGCAGGGAATAGCAGTCCTCAGTGCCAGATCCTCAAGGATATGTGGTGTTCAGGCTCCTGTACCTTTCAGGACAGCCTTCAAACTGAGGTGTGTGTGAGAGTTCTCCACTGCATTAGGAACCAGGGCTTGACAGCCCCAGGAGGTCTGTCCTGTCCATCACCTAATCAGCTGTAAGAGGTGACCTGACTGCAGCCTGTGCAGCCTCAAACACAGAAAGGGCCATGCAGTAAATGCTCCATCTGGTCATCTCTCTGTGTGTTTTTGGTAAAGCTTAAATCTCCTCTGAGGTGGGAGTTGTGCTGTGGCCACGGCTGATCACAGAACAGTTCCCTTCTCTTCATTTATAATGGAATTTATTAAAATTAAAGAAGAGCATTTTCAGCAGCTTGGTCAGTCTCCACAGTGAAGAGGAGCAGGAGCTGATGTCTGCACAGACTTGCTGCTGCTAATGGGTTTTGTCTCTTCCCAGCAACCCGTGTTCAACTCCCTCACAAACTGCTTGGGACCACGGAAGCTCCTGCACAGTGGGAAGCTGTACAAGGCCAAAAGCAGTAAGGAGCTGTATGGATTCCTTTTCAATGACTTCCTGCTGCTCACCTACATGGTTAAACAGTTTGTGTCTTCCGGATCCGATAAACTGTTCAGCCCTAAATCCAACTCCCAGTTCAAAATGTACAAAATGGTGAGTGAGTCAAGGTGCTCCAAGTGTTGCTACAGTGGGTCCTGGTTTCTGATGAGGAATGCTGCTCTCCCACTGGCATTAGCTGTGTGGCCCCTTTTGCTGTCACATGGGCACGTTCTGGCAAACAACTTGCATAAAAATGATATTGGCTTAGTACTTGGAAAAGGACAGACTTCTGCATCCTGGTTTAACTAACACCTCCATCCACTTTGGGGGAAGGGGCAGAAGTAGCATCATGCCTGAACAGCTGAGGGGGATGTTCAGAAGCAGGAGCCTTGACTTCAGTTTGCACAGGTTCCTGCATCCACAAGAAAATTCCTGTCCTTCAGAAAATATTAGAAGATGCAAAATTTTAGTCTCTGTGCCCACACATTGTGTGTTCTCAAGATTCTGAAACTGGAGACATAAACTTAAGTATCAGGGCTGCTTTCCCACAGAGAACCTGAGAGATTCCTGGATTTCCAAGCTCCACACTGCAGCTCTGCTTGCATACTCCTTCCCCTTTCACAAAGCTCTTTGCCTAGGAAACAAGAATGGGGTGAATTGCCAGAAAAGTTTTTCTCTCAGCCCTTTCTTGAATCCTTTACATGGTAATCTCATTGTTTGTCCTGTGTCCTATGACTTCCATTTTCCCTACAGTAAAACAGTGTATTTAAACATGCATATAGAGTTTCTGCCTGTTGTCAGGGGGTGATGCTGCCACAGTGACATTTGCTTTTCTTTCAGCCGGTTTTCCTTAATGAAGTCCTCGTGAAGCTGCCCACAGACCCTTCAAGTGATGAGCCAGTTTTTCACATATCACACATTGACAGAGTTTACACACTTAAAACTGACAACATTAATGAGCGGTGAGTAGTGAAAATACAAATCTGAGCTTAAACTTGTTCATTGATGCTGCAGGCTGTTTCCAGTGAGCTGACAGAGGGACTCCGAGCTCAGGAACAGAGCTGTCTCTTGGTCAGGAAATAAACTCACTTGACTCTCATTTGAATGAGAAGTTTTCTCTGATTTTGTTCTGCTTCTGCAGCAGTTCTTGCAGTATCCAGCCCCATCTGCTGCTCCTTGATGTTTCAGTTGTATCAAAGAACAGTTTAGGGCTGCAAAATCCAGCATCCGATAGGACTCTTCCCCAGTCCTGAGCAGTCTTTAATGTGACCCAGCAGTCTTTAGTAAAATAGCAGCTCCATGTCCATTTATTGAGGCTGATTTGGCATAAGATTAAGTCAAAAAACTCCATCATCTTTGTCCATGAACTGACTTGATTTGTGATGCCTCTAAAATTTAGGGAGGGGAGAATGAGGAAGGAGAGTGGGGCAGTCACTGAAGGTCTTGCTGCCTGTAGGATGACCCTGACTGTAGGGATTGCTCTCTGCAGGACTGCCTGGGTCCAGAAAATCAAAGCGGCGTCAGAGCAGTACATTGAAACGGAGAAGAGGAAACGTGAAAAGGCCTATCAAGGTACCCACTGAGTTCTGCATTTCCCTCTGTCCACCTGGATACAGGAGCCACCCATCTCCTGGAGGATGCCAGTTTCTCCTTCAGACCTACTGCCAGTTCTTACAGTTCCAACCAATCTGTTTATTTCTGACCTCTTTGTTCCCAGCTCGTTCACAGAAAACCTCAGGAATAGGACGCTTGATGGTGCACGTGATTGAAGCAACAGAACTAAAGGCCTGTAAGCCCAATGGTAAGTGAGGGAAACAGTCTCAGAGCAGTTTTATTCCTGTAACATTTGGAATGGCTTGCTGAGAGGAGCTGGTCATTTGGGAATCCCTGTGGTTTGTCTACAGTTTCTGTATGAAATAGCCATTCTTTAGCTTCAGAGGACAGAGTGAAGAACCAGCTCTGTGCTGCTCTGGGATATAGGATTGCCTGATCCACATCATCTGGCAGCAGCATTGATGTGTGTCCAGGCAGGCTGCAGATGGAGGGGGAGGTTCTGCACTGCACAGGGGATTCACTCTGTATTTTGTGTTTAGGGAAGAGTAACCCATACTGTGAGATCAGCATGGGCTCACAGAGCTACACTACCAGGACCCTGCAGGACACCCTGAACCCCAAGTGGAACTTCAACTGCCAGTTCTTCATCAAGGATCTCTATCAGGATGTCCTGTGTATCACCATGTTTGACAGGGATCAGTTCTCACCTGATGGTAAGTGTGAGTATTTAGGCAAAGAATGCTTTTTTGTTAGCTGAGCTACCCAGTTCCTCAGCAGCAGTTTCAAGAGCCTGTAGGTCTGACTGCTGCCTGAGAAATGTTGGGTGAAAACAATGCCTCAGTACTCAGGAGGTTCAACAGCTTCCAGAGCCAGTAACTCCAGGCAATCAGATTTGATCCCAATCTGGCTTCTGTATCAGACACAGAATTATTTTCTTGTCAGACTGAGGAGACAGACAAGTTGGAAGCAGAAGTTCTACTCACAATAGGTGCTCAAAAAGAAGGTCCTGGGTTATATTTTCACAGCAACAGCTTGATCAGCTTTCTTGTTGCTTGGAAACTGAACACGTTTTTGGCAGTCAGTTGCTTCTCATATTCTCTAAAAGGTTAAGTGCTTTTTCAGGGCTCTGACACACAGTCAATTATTGCACATTTGCAGGGAGCTGCCTTGACCTGAGATGCCTTGTCTGTAACCATAGCTCACTTTTTTCTCCTGTGGGTTAATGTGAGTCTGGCTGGACAGCTGAGTCTCGTTTTTCAGTCCACAGTGAACCTTTTAATGCACACACACACAAAGATGTCATGTAATAAATAGCCACACAGAAGGTGTATAATTTCTGAACAGGACTTGAAACCTACTAGAAGGGGTAATTGTTGAAGATCGTTCTAGTAAAAAGCATCATATATAGGCATAATTCAAAGTTGGCTGAGCCAAAATAGTTTATTTTTTTACTGTCTTTGAGCACCTCAGCTGCTTTGCAAACAAGTTCCATCAGTGTTAGCTGACCAGCCAGCTCTGAAATTGAAGAACACTTGAAATTGTGTTTCTGAAAGGGTATTTTCTAAGAGTATTTTTAAAGCACTTAGCTCAAACCGTGACATCCTAATTCCATAGCATTGTTCTCTTCCAAAAAGACCCCTTTTTGTCACTGCTGGCTGGTTTACACAGGGCTGGGGTCCAATCCAACTGGAAGCCTGGGAGCAGTGCTCTGGAACTGAGCATGCACCCCACAACACTGCACTAACCTGCCTCACTCATATTTTCTATGGTCAGTAGCTTTGCCTAATGAAGTTTCTAATTCGTTTGCCCAACAGATTTTTTGGGTCGCACTGAAGTTCCAGTAGCAAAAATCAGAACAGAACAAGAAAGCAAAGGCCCCACAACTAAACACTTACTGCTGCATGAAGTTCCAACAGGAGAAGTGTGGGTGCGCTTTGACCTGCAGCTCTTTGATCAGAAAACACTCCTCTAAGAACACTTTTTTAATTTATGAAGGACAACTAAAGCTAAGAGCCTGAACGTCTTTTGGTAAAAAATTCTTTGTCCCACGCTGGTTATTAAGCAAGAATTCCTGCTGCTTCTGTATTTCCTCTTAGTTCCTGGTTGTGCTTAGTTCCCTGCAGTGTTCCAAGTTGACATTGATCTATGCAAACACAAATGTTACTGTAAATACAGTACTATAGCTCAGTGCCTTTTTATTATTTTGGAATAGCTTGGGTTTGGATGCCAATGTTTCCATTATCAGGGCCATAAAAAGTATTATGTAGAAATGTGGCACCAAGCTGTTTGTATATTTTACCACTTAGTCTGACAGACAGACTGAGGAATGGTTTAAGCTCAGCACTAGAATCATTCCATTTGAAATCTTTAAAGTGATATCCACTGGAATTTTCCCATCTCAGGATGATCGTTTTAATGGTTAAATGCTGAAGAAGCCTTAGCACTGGAGAAGTCTCCAATATATTGTATATTCTTTTAAGAATCAAGTGTAGTTCTTTACTTGACTTTAGTTCTGCACTGGAATCAGCAACTGCTACTTGATTTTTCTTTCTGTTTCAGTTTGATTTATTGTTCTCTGCTGAGACAATGTGGTTGTGAAGAATAGCTAGAAAAAAATATTTTAAATACTGTGACCCACAACGATGTGGCAAAATGCTCTTCAGCTCTTTGGGTTTTTTCCTAATTATAAGTTATTTGTGTACATTTCCTTGGTCTGCAGACCTCCATGTGAATCTTGAAGCTTTGACATTGCCAACATGTATATAGAGAGTAAAATATAAGTTTATGAATTTGTCTACAGATGTTTATTGATGCATAGTGATTTTAAAAAAGTATATTTTATTGTACAGGGGAATGTGAAATAATGAGAAAAACTTATAGGATTTGTTCAAGGAAAGTTTATCACAAGTTTAAAAGGTTTGCTCTGGGGAGCTGTTACCCCAATATAGACTGTAAAATGAACTGGTTGAAATGAAAGCAAAAACTTTCTCTTGGCACCAAATCAGGGATGGTTTAAAAAAAAAAAAGAAAGTTTGTTTATAAATATTTGTTACATTGCAACCATTCTATTTCCTCCTTTAAACTGCTTTGTTGCAGAAGCACAGCATGCAGTTCTGAGCAGCCTGTGCCCTTGTTTTCCACGGGTGCAGAAATTCCTCTTCAAGTCTGGCAGTTTCCCACCCAGTCGCCATCTGTGCACCCTCCTATTACTGAGTCAACCTCTGTTACATTTAACAGTTTTCTGTGGTTCAGTATTTCTAATCCTAAATAAAACTCAACTCTTGGCAACTCTTGAGAGATTGTGTCTGTACAATGGGAGTTTGGAGGACAGAGAAAATTCTGTTTCCAGGCTTTGAGCCCAGAGCTGCTGAGCAGCTGCAGCAGCAGGAGATGGGGCTGCACTGGCACAGGAGAGGGTCAGGGTGAGGGCACTGGCAGCAGCTGTGAAGGCACTGCCCAGCACCAGCTCTCCAGAAAGCACCAGATGTTTTGAACACCACTTCCCATCTCCTCTCCCCTACTTATTTCCTGCCTTCTCAAAACACCTACGATGTGTGTTAAAAGTTTGATTTACTGCTTGAACACTGTCTCCAAGAGAGAATACCAGCACTGTCTTTATTGAGCTCAGGAGGTTTTGGCTTGTAGAGCATTGAAGTGGATCTGGCAAGAAGAGGCCCAGCATCTCAGACATTTCTTTGGCTGCTGGGTAACAACATTTCAGAACTACATGTTTAAGACAGTAAGTTTATTGCAGTTTGCCCAAAGACCTGCCTGGCCTGTTCTCACTTGCTTTGGCAGTGCATGTAACCTGTTTTGTAAAGGGTACCTTTGATGGCTGTACTTGCTGCTGTGGTCAGCTGGAGTACAGGTGACATCATTGCCTCTCTCTGTCATTGTGCTCGTTGATGAATTCCATCCTTTAAAGAGAAGGAAAAACTGTTGCCATGCTTCTGTAAAGATCAGCTGAGCTGTCAGATTATTTCCTTCTACACAGCACACACTAAGCTTGCCTGGGAACTCTCCAACTTTCCTTTGACAGGACATCTTCCCTGTGCTGCTACAATGGATTTGAAATGAGGAAAACAAATCTCCCCCTGCCATTGCTACTGTGCCTCAAAAACTTAGGGCTTAGTATAGATCCAGACTGTGTTCCTGGTGAAAACCATGTTCAAACACTCTTGGGCTTAAATGCAGTAGGAGTGAGTTAGTAAAACTAGAACATGCTCCCCTAGAGCAGCACATCAGTAACATGCTCTGTTAACCTCCTGCTGATCAAAGTGGGATTCCAAACCTGCTGACGCCTTCCAGCCGTCTGTGCCCGTCTTCTGGAAGAATGGATCATACTCTGATGGGTCATAATCATCCAAAAACACATAGCCCTGTGGGAGAAGCAGGTACTGGGTCAGGTCTCAGAAGCTACTGGTGGTTACAACAGTGAGAGCAGCCAGCCTGGGTGGGACAGAGCCAGGCACAGTATAACACAGCACCAGAGGTGGTTGAAATCTGTGAATTCTGTGAAAAAAGAATTTCCAGTTTTCAGACACTGCACCTCAGAAAGAAAGTGACTGAATTGTAACAGGAAAATTCCTCCATCTATTTTAATTTATCACAGGCATAAATACATAACAAGTGATTTCATGAAGCATCCAGAAATAATGACAGGCTAAAATGCTAACCTTAAATAGGACAGTCAAGACAATGGAAATTTTTTTTTATTGAAAAATGTTTTTCCAGAGAAGGAAGCCCTGACATTGGCTCAGTTTGTCAGAGCATGGTGCTAATAACACGAAGGTCATGGGTTTGATCTCAGAATGGGCCACTCACTTAAGAGTTGGGCACGATGATCCTTCTGGGTCCCTTCCAATTCAAAATATTCTGTGATGTCAGCAAAACAGATATTAAAAATAAAAGAAAAACAGCCACAGCCTTAGGCAGGTCACTGGTCTGCAAGAGACCAGCTCCATGTCTGGCTGCATGAGCTGGCTTTTCCATCTATACACTGGAATAAAGACCTGAACCCACACTTCATGGTCTAGGCTACAGCTCCACCTCATCAACAACGCTGCCACAACTGAAGGAGAAGGCTGACAGCAGGAAAAGCAAAAGAAAATGGGCAAAAAGAAGGGAGGGAAGGGAAAACACATCCAGAATTAACGACATTAATTAATCCACACAAGTGTCTCAAGTTCTGCAAAATTTATCATAAGCTGCCACAGTTAACGCAAACTTATGCAAATAATGTGTCCTGTAAATATGAAGGGCCTGAGCCTGCTTTTCAGACACTCTGGTGACAGACCTGACACCACAGAGCAAGGAGAAAAGGTAGAAGCTGATCACTGATGCTGTCCTTCAGGCAGAAGGACACATCCCAGTACATCAGCCATTGTCTCTGGAGGGCACCCAGCAAATTCCTGACCTGGCACAGCAGCTTGCAAGATGGACTGATGCAGACCCAGATATGCAGAGTACCCCCAGCACAGCCTAAATCCCAGGACTTCAGCAGTAGGACTGATTCAGTTCTTTCATTCCATGGGTCTGCCACATCAGGCCTTTGAAAAAGAGTTTGGTTTCTTCAAAACAACACAGCTCCCATGGTATTTTTATTTCTGGATAAGTAGGTTGTTTACAGTCTCACAACTCCACTGTGCAGTGGTTTCCACTGACAACAACTGCCTGCTCTCATAAAGTATTATTTTTGTGGCAGATTACGTAACTGCTTTTATTTTTCTCTTTTTTTTTCATTCCTGAGATGCAGAAAGATTAGTTGTGGGATCTGATATTCAAGAGTGGTCTCAAAGTAAGAGCAAAACAAAGAAAACTAACAAGTATTTTCTACAGTGACTGCAGTTTGCAATTTTTATGAATACTGAAACACATGGAACTACAAAATCCATGAGTTGGATCCATTACCTGTCTGCAGACTTAACAAAATTTTTTTTTTATCTCCCTGTTCCCATATTTTTTATTTTATGAAGCTTGATCAGTAGCATCCAAGGCCACAAAATCATTTCACTCATGCTCTGCCAACAGAGTTGCAGTACTGCTGTAGTAACTCCTGAGACTTGAGATTGCAGCCCTCACCCTGCTCACTCAGCCTGTGGTTTGAGCTGACAGAGCTCAAGGTTTTCCCACTAAATGGTCCAGCCCACAGAGACAAACACACCTCAGGAGGGTGTCTCACCATATTCAGACCCCAGCACGTGTTCACTACACCCAGCAATGCTGCTGTTCAACATGCACAGTTGGAACATCACCATTACAGAAGTCCTTGGGAAAAGTAGGTTACAGGCAAGGTATATCTGAACTCCAGGTTGCTCAACAAACAGGGAATAACAGCTAAACCCCTGAACTTGTCCACAACCCTCTGTATACAACCCCCTCCATGACAGAAATGTGTTTCTCATTGATACCTTCTTTGTACAGTAGTTTAAATATTGAGAGAATTGTTCTCGTCTCCTTTTCCACACTTCTTTCTCTGACTGGCTGTCCATTTGGTCCTTAATCTTCTGCATAACTGGCTCTGAAACATTGTCAAGATATTTTTTGTAGAGAAGCTCTGTCTTTCTCAGATCTAGGAAATCACTGTGCTTCAAATATCTGTCCACCTCCTTAAGAAATGGAAAATAAAAACCATAGAAACTATTGGTCAATGACAGTAAAGATTCCACATGTAAAGGATTGCAGCTTGGCTGACCTGACTGCTCACTGTTCCAAGGCATCTATTTTCCAGCCCTTCCTTCTGCTCCTCCTTCTCTCCACTTCCCACCACTTATTTCCAACCTTGCCCTTTCAAGAGCTTTGGCATTCAAACCCTTAATTTTTGAAGCTGTGGTGCAAATTTGGCAGAAAATGACTCACTTTTTCCCATCAGGTTATTGAGCTGAAATCACTGCAGAGCAGGAGGCTGCAAGCACCAGACTGTGCAAGACAGGCAGCAGAAGGACCCTCCCTGCAGCACTGGCAATCTGCTGGATCAGGTCAGAGCAGCCCTCCTGTCCTTTGCTCACAGCACCACTGTCACAAATTACCACACCCACAGGACAAATATTAGTGCAAACAGGCAGTTCAAGCCACCTGGGATTCACATTTAGGGTTACTACTTCAGTCCTATCCAGAGTAGACTGAAGAGATCAGAAGCTCATAACTCTAAATTAGTTTTTCAAGAATACAAGCAATTAACATTTTCTCATGAATCACTGATTAGGAACTAAAAATACCGACATGCAGGAAAGCACACAGCAAATGAAGAAAGAGCAGTTCTTACCCTCACAAAATTCTCTCTGTCCAAGATGCACTCAGCAGAAGCAATGATGTCTCGGCTTTGATCAGGTGCTGCCTAACAAAACATGAACAAAAGCCCACATGAGGTGAAAGCAGGACTTAGAGCAGGAGTTAGATTTACTTTTGAATTAAAAATAATTACCAGTGTCGTGATTAAAGGCACATTATACCACAACCCAGCTGGCAAATCCTTGCAAGATTTGCTCTGAACAGCTGGGTTAAGTAGCAACAGAAGAGTGTTGGAAGAACTGGAATGAGAACTGGAACGTACATGCTCAAACCTCCTTGGCTGCTCCTCACCACCACCAAACACCACTTCCTCCTTGCCACTGTTTCTCACCTGTGGTTCTTTAACTCCTGCATTCCAGACAAGGAGGACAGGCAATGCAGACCAAATCTGTATTTGGGGATGGAATGCATTTTATGCATAGAATGGAATATTAGCCTGCTACTCCCTGTGCTCAATATTGATTTTTAATTCCAATTGACAGTGTAGTTTTCAGTCATGTCTGCCTTGGCCTGCTGACCAGCTCCATGCTCCTACAGGTTTATTACACTAAGATGAGCAGGACACACCACAGCAAGCAAGGAAAACAACAAGAAGTATTAAAAATTCCACCAAAAAAAAAAAGAGAAAGAGGAAATTTAAATTTCTGCCATGTTTCAAGACTCTTACATCCTACTATTTGAAACAACTGATATGTTGTATTATGCCTGATGAATTCACTTCACCTTGTCACAGATCCTTTTTAAGGTCAGTACTGTAACAGCAGCACAAAGACATGGCCATCATTCCACCTAAGAACCATCACTGCTGAACAGGAAAAGAGCTCTCCTTCAGGATGATACATATGTGAAAAATCCTTAAGAACCAAAGTACTTCATTGCTTTGACTGATGGAATGAAGTCCCTTTTCCTGGAAAAGGGCAGGCCCAGGGGCAGCCTCATCATAGTATGCTTACAGAGCAGCTGCAAGAGGACAGAGGCTCTCACTGCACCAGAAGCCACAGCAAGAAGACAAAGGCTAAGAGGTACAAGTTGCATTGGCAGAGGTTTCATCTCAAAGTAAAAAATTAATTTTTACAGTGAGATCAATCATTCACTGAACAGCCTCCCCAGGGATGTGGTGGAGTCCCCATCACTGAAGGTGTTCAAGGTGCAGTTGCACCTGAGCTGGATCCCCTCATCTGGTGTCTCTTTCCCATGAAAGGCTGGGCCAGATGATCTTCCAAGGTCCCTTCCAGCCTGGGCTGTCCCATGAGTCTGTGATTCTAACTAGTCACAAGCTTGTTTCAGGTTTTATGGGAAACTTTTTCACACATGAAATTGCAAGTAAGTTAATAAAGCTGGCTCAAAAGGATGCAAGTGCTCAATAAAAGCCATTTAACCTGTTGCTATTTTTGGAATTCTTTGTTCTCCTTCTCCATGAAAAATATCTCTCAGATTTTACTGAACTTTGAAAATAACAATTTTTCATTCTTCCCTTCATAATTTCTATGTAATTCCTTCACTCATATCTTCACACAACAGACAACCTTCATTCTGTCTTAGCCAATCTTTGGCAATATTTTTCTTTCCAAAACATCTGCTGCAATCAAAATTATTGGCTGTGCCACTCTGCTGGTGCTGAGGAGAACCTCTGGATAAATGTAAAGAAAGGAAAAGATCTGCATAAAAGGACAACCTGCTTTACAAAGGTCAGGTTCTCACCCATGTTCCACAACCAAGGCACAAACTGGGATGCAATGGCAAGAATTAATACAAGTGCAACACCCATTTCTGAGTGTGCTGTGGAGGGACAGACAAAGCACAAAGCTCCTGCTCAGGGCTCACAGATGAGTTCAGGCACGTGCCAGGCATGGAAGTCTGGGAGCACAGACCAGAAAACACTGTCAGGATTTCAGTGGGATTGGGGGGCCCAATTACACTCCTGGCTCCCAGTTACAGCCACTGCTCTCTGTGCTGCTCACAGCAGAACCTGCAGCTGAAGGAATGCTGGCATCACTCACCCTCCAAGGCTTTTGCCGCTTGGGTTTTCTCACAGGTTTCCCATTTGCAAATCTTTGGAGCCAGGGACCTTCTGAGTTATTCACACTACCCATGGCTGGATTGGTCTGGGAAAAACAATAAAACCATCAAAACCCATTAAAAACTATTTTATTAACAGAAAAATCTAAATTTCTTACAATTCCTACTGAGCAGTGAATCAGAACTCTAAAGGACTTCTAATGCTGATACCTGCAGCATTTTGCTGTCTCAGTAAGTAAAACACAGATGAAGTATCAGGTTTACAATCAGATACTGCCTCTGTGGAACCATCTGTCCTCATCACACACCACGGATAGAACATTTTGTTTCAAAGAACAGTGATTGACAAATTATTTGAAAATGCCTGTCAGCTTTGGAAACATTTCAGAGTTATCAAATTTCACCTCCAGACTATTGCTTCTTTCCTTTTTCAATCAGATAAAATTCCTTTCAAGTAACTGCCACATCCCACTATGGCTACATTTTATTGTTTTTTAAAGTTAGTTCTACCAGATGAAGCTTATGCTGAAGTGCTAACTCAGCTCCAGCCAGAAAATTCCATCTTGTCTCTTGTATGTGCATCAGGATATCTGGATTGATTTATAACAGAGACAGTGGAACCACAGAGGCAAAATGCTCCTTACAGGAACCTCCATTTAAACCCCTGTTTGTCTCAGATTCACTGGAGACACACTTCTTCCAGGAAACAATGGATTGACATTAGTTAGGTAAATAACAGAACAAAAGAAAAGCTTATTTCTGCAGAGATACTGACCCCAAGTCTTCAGACAGATCTTGCAGTTATTAAAAAAGAAATAAAAATCTGGTATTCAATTATTTTTTGCAACATCTAGTTATAAGAATCTGAGAAGACTCTCAGGTATTCATAGAAGATAATTTTTTTTTTTTTTTTAGGAGACAACACTTAAGAGTTAATTCTGTCCAATCCAGCACTTTAGTGACAATATCTGACTCCCAGCTTACCTCTCTGGAGTGCAGATTCAAATTTCTTACCATCAGTTCAAGGTAAAGTCTGTAATCTACATCTCTATTTGTTTCACTTTATATTCCCTTTTCATTTTATATTCTGTACCATGACAAAAACATTTGCTGGGATATTCCCCCATCCTCACAGCAATGTTTTCCTTTCTTTTGACTGAAAGTCAGAAATCAGAGGACAGCATCTGTTGGAAGGGACTTGAGGAAGTCACCTGGTTCTGTTGCCTTTTTCCCAAACTGGAAATGAAACTCAAGATAATTTCAGTAAGGAGGTAATAGAAAAGGGATCTTTATTTGAAGGCCTTCAGAGGCAGTTATGGAAAGATGTCCACACAAGCCCACGCCCTCCCAGGGGTGAGCACACTTTTATAGGTTTTAGGAAATTAGCATAATTGATAAAAAGCACCAATTAGGAGGACAACTGGTGATGCAATTCCCCCAGGGCCAAGCCCCTTCTCTGGAGCCCCCCTTCAGCACTAGCTGTACTTTGTCCATGAGAATGTATCCCAAGGAGTTGTTCTCAGCCTTGGCTCCCAGGAAGAACCAAGACAGGAAGAACCAGAGCCCCTCCTGGGGCTTGGAGCTCTGGAATTTGTTTTGTCTTTCTGCTGAGGGAAAGGCCATGGAGAAGTACTGGAAAAACTAGGTACTAATACAGAGTGACAGAGTTACAAATGTATCAGTGAAGAATACAGAGAACACATTAAAAAAAGGCAAAACCCAAATGACATCAGTCTCAGTGCCAGCTTGAAGAGAAGCAAACCTCACAGAACCAATTTCTGATACAAAATTAGCGGGCAAACAGCAAGGGCTGAAAAGATTTGGGTACCTGACATGCTATAGATTTGGCATTAGAAAATTCCAACGCGCCTTCCTACGAGCAATATATCCTGCCCACATGCCCAGGTGCCACAGGCTCCTGTGCCATGCCACCATTTACAGATTTCCTCCAACTCCAAGCAGCCCATCCACCTCACAGAGTGAGCACAAAGCAGAGGAGGTGCTTGGCCTCCTCAGAGTTGGGATCCCAGGGGAGATAAAACAGAGCAAACACAGAGGATGTGCCTCTGCAGCAATCTGCCTCCAGGAGCCCACAAGGGGTAAAGACTAGCAGATTTCCCCCCACAGACAATCTTCATAACTCAAGTCTGTACTGAATCTTAATACTTTCTTTTTCTGCTTTTTTGGGACTCTTGCTGGGAGATGCCAGCCCTCCTCTCTGCAAAGGCAGGGCTCACTGACATGAGACAGCAGCTGTTTTGCAGCTCTTGAATCCACAGATTTAATCACAGGCTTAGACAGAAATAGAGTAAAGGATTTCCAGAACCAGAGTGGATAAAACAAGCATTTAGTCAATCCAGTGGCTGCAGTCTGCAGATGCCAAATCCCATGAGCAGGTTGGCTGTCCTGTATCAGGACATTTGTTTGACTGTGCCAGATCCCTGGAAGTGTCCAAGGCCAGGCTGGATGGGGCTTGGAGCAACCTGGTCCAGGGGAAGGTGTCCCTGCTCACGGCAGGGAGTTGGAACTAGATGATCTTTAGGGTCCTTTCCAACCCAAACCATTCTGTGATAATTAAACTGAGAATAACCTAAAAATCTTTGTTAGATAAACAAGCATCCTTCTGTGCTGTCAGCAGTGCAGCTCTCTATCAGTAAATTTTAAAGACAGGTTTCTCTTCTTTCCTCAGGAAAACGAGGTTCTCCCCCAAACACTCATCTGCTAAAATTCACACTCTCTGTGCCCAAACACGAGGCTTTGCAGCAGCTTTGAGGAAACACATGTTAATCACTCTGTGACAAATATAAGCACCCCCTATATGCCTCAGTCCTCTCAAAACCCCGTTCAGCCACACAGGCTCTCGAGTCACTGCACGGATGTCACCCTGCACAAGCACAGCCTTTACTTGGTGCCCCCGCATTGCCTCATCTGCAGAGAGCGGTGAGAGCACGAGTCTCCAGTGCGAGCAGGGCAGCTCTGCGAACAGAACCTTTTACACCGTGAATGCTGAGCTAACACGTGCATGCCCGGAGGGTCCTGGCCCGGCCCTGCACTTGGGAGGCAGCGATGAGACAAAGGCGGCGAAAGGGAAAGGCTGAGACCCTCTGGGCCCGGCTCGCCCCGCACCCTGCCCGGCCCTGAGGCGGCTCCTGCAGGCCCCAGGGAAGAGCAGGCGGCCAGCAAAAACCCACACCTACCAGCCCCGTGCCGGGGTCCCTCACTGGGGCGGTGAACACAGCCCCAGAAGAGCCAGAGGCAGCGGCACAGCGCTACCAGACAAGCCAAAGGCGCACCGCCCCGCTGAGGGGGAAATGGCGGCGCGCCTTGATCGCACTTCACATCAGCCAAAGCGCCCCTCCCTGACCGAAAAACATAGTCCATCACCCACAGCCTCTCGGGTTGAGGACACGCCGCCCGTAGGGACGGGACCCGGCCTCCCGTGGGGACAGAGACCCGGCTACCGGTGGGGACAGGGCACAGAAACCTGTGGGGACAACGCTGGGGCAGTCCTGATCTGGCGCCGAAGACAGACGGGGCGGCGGCACGACCAGATCCCTCCGCGCCCGGCGGCGCAGAGTCCCGCACTGCCACGGCAACCCCAACGCGCGCGCTCCCGCCGGCAAGGCTTCCCACCAATCAGAGAGGGGAGCGCGCGGTGAGCGAGCCAATCAGGAGCGAGGGAGGCTCCGCCGAGCCGAGCCGAGCCGAGCCGAACGGGGCCGGCGAAGCCGGGCTCCCCGGTTTATTATCCAAAGTTCATTAAATCGTATTACGAGATTTCACACGTTCGCCCGCAGTGTTGACCATGACACCAAATCTGAAACCGCGATCAACCGGATACCATCAGATGAGAGAAATGTCAGGGCTTTTCCCCCTGCAGCGCTGCACTGACACAGAGATCTCACAATATCTGTGTGCCACGTAAACGGGGGATCTCCTGGAGCCCTTTATACTTTATTTTTGAAAATGTATTATTATGATTGATGTGTCAGTGCCCCAGGCATGATGAGACCCTTGTGCCCAGCCGCCTGCCGCTGCCCTGGAATGGGATCCCCTGCACAGCCCAGGGTGTGTCCATTAACCTGGCCAGGGACTTGTGACAGCAGCTGTCAGAGCCAGACCCCTTATATCAGTCTGGAAAGAAAGACCCCCATCCCCCTGGATTCCCCACACTCTTAGTCTCAGTGCTTTTAATTTTGTCATTTTATAAACTACCATTGTCTGCCAGCATCCTTGAAGGACTCAGGCTGAGCAATTTAAGGAATAACACACTTTATTAACAAACACACTGATCACAGAAGACTGTCACAGGGTGGGGGCAGAGATTGTCGCTGACAGTGCAAGAACGGGTTTGGAGGGATACACAGGCTCTGATCATCAGTGAAAGTTTGAGATAATCAATGTGTACAGAACAGGGATCCTACCCAACAGGTGTGCCCATGGGGGAAAAGCCAAGATCAGCCCCATGAACCCATCCCAGAAGTTATGTGGAGCCTTTCCTAACTTGCCCCCTCTTAACTCACTGTTAGACTATTTCTTTACACTTAGGTGAAGCTTGAGTGACTCTAGTCAAACATACTTTTGTTCTTGATTGGTGCAAAATTCCCTCACTTTGCTCTCAAAGACAGTTAACAAAATAGAGAGTGTGTGCTCAGGGAGGGGTGGTCTCACTTTGTGGGTGGGTAACTTTGGGATGGAGGTGTGTCACACCTTTACAATGAGAGTACAAAGAGTGGGATTCATCTGAGGAGAGCGATTTCCCCTCAGCTGCTGACTGAGGAACAGGACATCTCCATCCTGTGCCTGGCAGCTGCTGTGTGGTTTGTCACCTACAAGAGTTCCCATTCCTGCAGGGATCACAGCAGAGCCTGGCCATGGATCCCCATCCTGCTCCACCTTCCATTTCACCCCTCCTTAGCATCTGCTTCAGGCTGCAGGGGGAACTACCATGGGATGAATTCTGTGCTTGCCAACTGCATTCCCTCCTGGAAATAGCAACTGCATTTTACCCTGAAATTTCCTAATGTTACAGCTTCTGTTGGAATGTGATTATAACTTTAGCCTCAAGATTTTCCCCTAAATGTCTCTAACTCCCCCCCATTTTCCCACTTAATCAACCCCATGACTGTAGCACTCAAGCTTCCCAATATCCAAGTGGAGTTCAAGAGTGTTTCAAGCATTTGTATGCATGGATTATCTGATATTTGTAGGGGTGGCCAATAGGCTAATTGCCTCATAATAATACAATCTTTAACATATAATACATTTATCAAGACAAAAAGCAAAAGGGTTAATACCAATACAACAAATTCCTGTAGCAGCTGGTGATCATCTGAAAAGGGTATCCCACAACCACTGTTCTCTGCATCTTTCTTGACTGGTTCCAAAATGTGATGTATTTTCTCCACATCGTGATGGACAAGGACCAGAGTCCTTTGTCCATTTTCTTGAGCTTGTTTCAACAATTGTTTTAAGTCTTTATGTTGTAGCAGTTTCCTGCTCAAGGTGAGATTCATTCCAATAGGCGTGGGCAGCAGGTCTTGAATCAGCATTTAGTTAAACTGGAACAATCTGTAAGATATGACAGGAGCTAAGTAAATAAAACCACGTCTGTAATTTCAATGAACTTACAAACATTTGAGTGATTACTTGTAGCTTCACTAACATTATCTATGAGTTACCATGGAATCACAAAGACTTCTCGCACTTCTCTCACCAATATGTACAATTGAAAACATTTTCAGGCATTTCACTGGGATGTGTCTCAAAATAACAAACACTTTTTGTTCAGTGTCAAGACAAATTACTCTCTTAAGCTTTGAGAGTGCTGCTTTCACAAATGACTCTTGTTCTTGCACAATGGCATCAATGCCTTGCCATTTTCCCCATCCTTTTGTGCCCACAGTCTCTGCTCCAGGGGATAGAGTATAGTCCCACCGTGACTGAACCCTCACACAGATTCGATTAAGTGTTAAGGTTCGAATCTTCTGAACCTTCAGTGCAAAATCCCTATTTCAATTTAGAAGGAGAGGCCCCTCCTGGATTCCCCCTGCTCCTAGTCAGTGTGTTATCAGTTCTGTCAAGCATGCTGCCTGTGCCAGAGCCCTCAAAGGAGTCACACTAACAGTTTATGGAATAACATTTTATAAATATGGAATAACAGTTTATAAATATAACAGAAAATTGTGACAGGTTGAGGTTTGAGGATAGCCAGTGATAGTATCTCACTGCAAAAATGTATTCAGAGCAACACACAGATAATCCCTAACAAAAGCTGTCTCGAGGTAATTAATCAATCAATATGTGGAGAACAGAGTTCTCACCCAACAGATGTGCCTGCAGGACCTGCAGGGAAGAAGATGCATTTTTTTTTTTTTAATGTGGCTTTCGTCAGGGGTTTGTTTAGTTCACCTTTGCCCAGGGGAAGGGGAATTGGAAGTTTCTCTTCAAAAGACTCTGTTCACCAGGTAAAGCCTGATGAAGCCTTAAAATCTACAGATTGAGAGTAGCCAGAAGATACAGAGGAGATAAATGAGCATTAACGAACATCTCCCTCTGGGACAGTTGGAGACACCTGGTCTGGGAAAAGATTGATAAGAGAACCAAAGAATAAGGTCCTAATCAACGTCAAAGGTGAAGGAATCAATAACCATTAGATATCAAACACTAAGAATTGTGTAATTTAAGACCAATGAACATGAATTTCTTTGGGGTTTGTATGTATAAATATGTGAAAAGTCTAGTAAAGAACCATGTGTGATGGAATGATTTTCACTGTACAACCCAGGCATGTGTGAATAAAATAATTTATACCGCACATCCTGGCCAAAACAACATCCTGGCCAGAAAAAAAGAAATGCCTCAGTTCTCCAACATTGAAAATATGTTGCTGGAGAGTTTCTGTTTTCCCCATAGTTTCAGTGATAATGTGACCATAACTTTAGCCTCAAGATACTTCTCAGGTTTCTTTAATTTCCCCCCAGTCATCTGGTCACACTGTGCTAGAACTAATTATTATTTTTTTTTTAAATAATTTTTGGTTTGGGTCAAGCCCAGCCCAAAAAAAAAAAACCAAAAAACCCTCAGGTCCCTCCTTCTGCTCTGATCTAATGGTTGTAGCAAATTTTATCTCATTTCTTAGTGTTTTCACTGTGGACTGTTTCCTCAGCAACATGAAAATTTAATGCCAGGAGAAAAAAAATCAGAAATATTTACACTACAAAAATGTAACTGGACTTTTATGGCCTTTCTGGAAAAGAGGACCAGTTTCCTCCTGGTCAATTCTTGTGCCTTTCTTGTTGTTGCTGCTGTTATTTTGCTTATCTGAGGCCTTACATTTCATCTGCTGAAAGTCCTGAATTTCACATGGAGGAAAATATGAAAGGGAGGAGGAATTATACATCTATCTTTTTACAGAACAGAATGAAAATGAACCAGCTTCAGGCTTTGCTGAGTGACAGCCTTGCCAGCACAAAAAGCATGTGGAAAATGCAGTTATCATTGGTATAAAGACAAGTCTCTGCATCGACCTTTGGCTTTAATGTGAGAGATCAAGAGCTTCCTGGGAAGTGACAGCAGAGGTGGAAACTCTGTGAAATCAGAGCACAAAGCAGAAATAATGGCAGGGAGCACAGCACTCTACTAAATCCACTTGTTCTCTCAGCCTCAAAGCCCAGTGCCGGGGTACAGCTCAGCTGACTTGCAAGGTGGTTGCTAATTTCACATCTTTGATTTTTTGGAACAAAGATGCCATTTAAGTGGCATTTTGGAGGAGTCCTTTTTAACCACGTTGTGCTCAGTGATCCTGACAGTAAAGCAGATGGATGTGGGTCCATTCTCTGGCCCTGAGACCTGCTGGAATGGAATATGCTGTGCCCATGCTATAACCCCAAAGCTGTGGCTGAACTGGATTGCTGGTTGGGAACATAGATCTAGATTCAATGCCAGGGGTTGATACAGAAATATTTTCTGCCTAATTCTGGAGAAACAATGCAGTGAAACCACCTGTAGCTGCCAAGTTACTATCACTGATACAGCACATGAAACAAGCCCGTTCTTTTATCCAATGACAGCTCTGTCTGTGCCCAGAATCACAGAACCACAGAACCATGGCTGGAAAAGACCTAAAGATCACCAAGTCCAGCCATTAACCCAGCACTGCCAAGCCCATCACTAAACCACGTCAATCAGTGCCACATTTACATGTCTTTTAAGGGATGGTGACCCTGGGCAGTGTGTTCCAGTGTTTCACAGCCTTTTGGTGAAGAAATTATTCCTAAAATCCAGCCTGAACCTCCACTTATGCAACTTGAGGTCATCTCATCTTGTTCTACCACTTGTAACTTGAGAGAAGAGCACAACCCCCCTCAGGCTTCACCCTCCTGTCAGCTGTACAGAGAGGATGGTCTCCCCCTGAGTCTCCTGGGCTGAGCCCCCTCCCCAGCTCCCTCAGCTGCTCCTCATCAGACCTGTGCTCCAAACCCTTCCCCAGCTCTGTTCCTTTCTCTGGACCTGCTCCAGCCCCTCAATGTCCTTCCTGAATTGAGGGGCCCAGAACAGGACACAGCCCTCGAGGTGACCTCAGCCGTGCCCAGCACAGGGGACAGTCCCTGCCCTGGCCCTGCTGCCACACCATGGCTGGTACAGCCCAGGTGCCTTTGGCCTTCTTGCCCACCTGGGCACAGCTGGCTCAGGTTCAGCTGCTGTCCCCAGCACCCCCAGGTCCTTTTTCACTGGACACCTTTCCAGCCACTCTGCCCCAGCCTGTGGCACTGCAGGGCTTGTTGTGACCCAGGTGCAGGACCCAGCATTTGGCTTTGCTGAACCTCAAACAACTGACCCCAGCCCATGGATCCAGCCTGTCCAGACCCCTCTGCAGAGCCTCCCCACTCTCCAGCAGATCAGCACTCAAACTGGTGCTGTCTGGGAACCTATTGAGGATGGACTCGGTCCCCTCATCCAAACCATCAATAAAGACATTAAACAGAGCTGGCCCCAGTGTGAAGCCTTGGGAAATGAGATTTATTAAATCTAACAGCAAGGCCTTCCCCTATAAGCTAACTTCAGACTAGCTCTATCTTATTATTGTCAGCAGGACTACACACAGAGCTGGAGCAGGTCCAAAGGCACCATTGTCTGCCTGGCTGGCTCAGTAATAAATTCAGGAGCCATATCATATTTGATGTGAGATTTTTTTTTTTTTTTCCCTGCTATGGAAGAAAGGCAGAAAGTGTAAAGCTGAGAGATTGCAAAAAATGCCAGCACTTTCAAAATCCTGTAACAATATCCACTCATTATTTGCTCTTGCAAATAGTAACATTGTTCAAAAGCAGCCACAGTTCCTAGCAAAGACTAATGCTAAGTTTTTCCAGGGCCAGATTTGCAGTAGTTTTTCTTTGGAGTTTACTCTTGCTGTCCTGGATGATTTCTTTGTGGAAAAAAAAAAGAAAAGTAACTTTTCTTTGCATGTTACAAGATATTTCTGAAAATTATTTAAAGTGCAGCTCAGTACTTATTCTTTAAAGCAGATAATACCTCACAAATATAGGTATTTAAAATTTTCAGACAGAAACAGCACTGTCATCATTTGAGTGTAAGTACAGTGTAAGGGGGATTTGAACTTGAAAAAAAGCATCTCCATTACAGCAATTCGGTATATGAATTTTATAATGATTTAAATTTTTATTTATTTATGTCCTTGTGCTATTATAGCACACTACTTTAGAGAGAAAGGTGGCTGAATCAACAGAAAACTTGGACTTCATAAACCTTAAGAGTGCTCATTAGGAAATAAAGCATAGAAGTTCAAAACTTTAAACAAGAAACTGCTGCTTTACAACATTCCAGCTGCTGAGCTCCCTTCTGTTTTTTTCTAGAACAATTATGGGCTTGCTGCTCATAAAAGGACTACTCTATGCATCTTTTCTGTAAGTTTCTTAACTGAATTGAAAGTGATGTCTTCAATACTTGGTTTAAGATGCTCTGCTTTATCTTTCTAATGTTGTATTTTAGCCTGCTTCCAGATAACATAGTTACTAATCTCAGTACACAAAGTTCTCTAATGGCATTACAGCTCTGCAGGGGCCACAGACCCAAGGGACAAAGGAAATTTCTACATTAACACATTTTCAGACTGTCTTGTACATCCTTGAATAATAAAACATATTTTCATCATGTGAATCTGCATTGTCAATTACTGTAATAGAAAGTTATTTTAAACTGCAGTGGATTGCAAAGTTCTCCGGGGACAGTGGAGGAGGGACAATGCCAGCAGTGGCACTGAATCAGGCTGTGCGTACTACAGACCAGGCTTCATGATCTTTTCATCTTCAGACACACATCAATTATTAGCTCTTCAAGTCACGTGAGAACAAAAGAATTTTTAGCTATACTTGATTCTAAATTTGTTCAGTTTCAAAGAGGAATTTAAAAGCCTGAATACAAAAATATCATTATTACAGGGGAAAAAAAATCCACAAAAAAATCCCCACACGTATGAGTTACCATTTTAAAGTAGTCTGAAGTGTCAATTTTATTCCCTGACAGCTCAAACACTCAACAGCTGGTGATCAGGACACGGAGAAAAGTGTGATCTGATCCTTCTGCAAAGCTCAAGGAGATAGTATCAGACTTTTAGAACAGTACTGATTCTGATTCCAAACCACCAGGTAGAAACACCTGGGGTTTAAGGACGAGAACCAGCGGGCTCTGAACGCCGCTGTTCCCCGGGAGCAGAGCCCAGGGCAGCATCCCCAGCGCGCTCAGGGCATCGGGGCTGGCACAGCTCCCACGCCCTCAGTGCAACCCGAGTGTGAGACACTGAGAGTTCTGAAACGACAGCGCCTGCACGGCTGGAGCACACCCCATTGTTATGAATAGAAAGTTATACAACCTAAAAGATGTTGATTAAAGACACGCCCCGGGGTGTTAGACAAAAAACCGGGAATCTGCGACTCTCCCGTGAGGACGGAATCCCCAGCTCTGCCTGCAGACCAGCGGACAAAGCTGCATCACCCTCCTCCTCCTCCGTGGCACTGGGAGCAACGGCAGCGTGGGCGCGACCCGTAGATTTCTCCCCACCTGAGCTGATTCTTCTTAATAAAGGCATAAAAAAGGAGAAAGATCTCCTGCCCATTTATTTCACCCATCACACACACTGGCACAGGCACGGGCAGCAGGCCAAGCTCCCCCGTGTGCTCGGGCAGCGGCCGATCTCTGCCGCAAGGCCAAGCGGGAAAACATCTCTGTGCCAAGCCATGGAATGATCCAGGTCGCTCCCAGAAACAATGGGGAGCTGTGCTAATATTTCTGACTCCTCATATCTGTCGCTCCAAAGCAGAACAGCCTCGCCCTGTTCCTTGCCTTGGCCTGCAGGGGAGCAGCTGAATGCCAGGAGGAACTGGGATCGGACTCTGCTCCCGAGGACAGGCTGGGTTTGTTCCGGGGCACACTGTCCCTCCTTCCTTACAGGAAAAAGGTGAGCTCGGGAGCCACGGAGTTGCTTAAAATTGTTGTTTTCAGCCACTGCTGGCAGATCTGAGAGCTTGAAATGGTTGGAAACTTGTATCACAGTTCCTGCGGTTTTCTGTGCATTTGAGAGTAATGTAAATATTCAGATCCTCTTGGCTTTTTGGTTTTGTTTTGTTTTTTGGGGTTTTTAAAACATTTTTGTGAGCCTGCTTCTAGCAAAAAAGACAATAATTTATAGAAAAGCAGGTTAATGAACTCTGACAAAAGAGGGACAAAAGCTTCTTTCATATCTTATTTTAACTGAGTAAATTTGGACCCAATTAAGACAGCAGAAACAATTGTTATGAGGTGGCATCAGGTGGGCTTTCCATTGAATTTTTTTGCTGATACAGGCAAATTTTGTGGGACTGGATTAAATGGTTAATAACAATGACTACACAGCCAGCCTCAGAAACAAAAGCCTTTAAATTGCATTTTATACAAATGGAAGTGCTTGTTCACCATAAAATAACCATAGAGCACCACCCTGTGGGGACTGACATCCCTGGGGTTTCAAGCTGTTTATCATTCTGCATTTGCAGTCTTACCACAAGTAATTAGGTATGCACTTAGCTTTTCCTGTGCAGAAATCTGTGATTTCTACAGAGGGCAGGGTGGTCTGTCACGCAGTGCTGCTTATTTGGAGAGGCCCTGGCCTGCAGCCCATCCCAGTGCTGAACCAGCTCTCAGCAAGTAACACAGGCTGTTCCCGTTGTGATTGCCTCTCCTTCTCATCTCCTTCCACCCAGGACCCAGGGAACAGAGAGAAGACTTTTCCTCATTTGATTTTACCAGGCAGGAGAAAAGGCTTGACAGCTCAGCCCACCTCATCATCTGCTGGTGCCAAAAGGATCCCAGGAACAGCATCTGAGGAGGTACCTGAAAGACTCCTGCAGCAGTGAGAGCCTGTACCACAGCAAATCAGGCACACAGCAATCACCTCCTGAAGCAAGGGAAATAAATTGGGATTTTTAAAGCCATTTGTTACCTTTCATTACTGAGATTTTTCCACTGCACGTGCCTGCATTCATGCAACGTTTGTTCAGTTTGGTTTTGTTTGTTTGTTTTTTAGAGAAAATGTTTGCAGCTTATTTTGATTGCCCAGGAGGCCCAGAAAATCTCTATATGAAAGAAGTGATGAAGCCAAATCCAGGAGAAGGAGAAGTTCTTGTGAAGGTCTCTGCCAGTGCTCTGAATAGGGCCGATTTACTCCAGGTACGTGTAGGTTATGCAGACTTATGCACCTAAAAACAACACATTTTTCAAGCCTCTCTGTGAAGTCCTGACAGATCAGATGAGCTAAAAGAGTTTGAACCTGGTGAGCACTGGGACTGGAAAGTTCATAGGGCTGAAAGAAGAGATGCTTGTTGATTCAGCAGATAAATGTTTTTATCTGAGATAGTGCAGTGCTGGGCTGGCGTGGAAAGGCAGCTGCCTTTCAACAAAAACATGTAAAACCAAAGCTCTGATCTTTCTAGATCTTAGACCCTTTTCTGGGTATTTGAGATGAAAAGGAAATGTTCCAATGGCACAGTTCCAGTGGGAGAAAATTTATTCAAATTCACATTCAAATTATTAGTTTGAGCTGCAAGCCGTGCTCTGCAAATAGAGTCCATAGTATCTCCAGAGCACGGATTAGCCTGGAGGGAACCCACAAATATTTCAATTTATACTTATTTTAAGAATAAGACTTAGGAAGAATAACACTTAGGAAGCAAAAGTGTTTCCATAGGCTAGAAGATCCTCAAATTACTGCAACATATGCACAGGGCAAAATCAGGATCAAACAAATAAGAATTTAAGCTGAAGATATGTGAGTGAAATTGCAGGTCATTACACTCATTGATGGTTTTTCCTTCCTTGCCTTTTTTTTTTTAATTTTTATTTTAGAGGAGAGGGAAGTATGTACCCTCCCCCCAAAGGAGCAAGTGACATTTTAGGCCTGGAAGCAGCTGGGAGCGTGGCTGGGCTGGGTCCCGGCTGCTCGGGCCGGTGGAAGATCGGCGATGCAGTGATGGCTCTGCTCCCCGGGGGAGGCCAGGCACAGTATGTGACAGTGCCCGAAGGCCTCCTGATGCCAGTTCCCAAAGATATGACTTTTATCCAGGCTGCAGCCATTCCTGAAGCCTGGCTAACAGCATTTCAGCTGCTCCACTTTGTAGGTGAGAGGTGCATTTCGCCATTTATCCCGCCAAAACAACTCATCTTAATTTCTGTTACAAAATACTTTCCTTGTTGCCTCGATTTGAATATTGCTTCCCTTCAAAGAACCTTTTCTCTGTCACTTTGTTCTTGTGGATCAGAATCCATTATGCCAGACACAAATCTCTGAATCTTGACCACCTCTCCTCGGTGCCAACCCACACTGTTGATTACACATTTACAAGAAAGGATATGCAAAGATGGCCAATTCCTTTTCATGTATTTCTCAGTTTGAATAACTGAATTGTTTGGGTTGAAAAGGAACTAGGTGATCTAGTTCCTTGCCATGGACAGGGACACCTTCTCTCTGTCACTTTGTTCTTGTGGATCAGAATCCATTATGCCAGACACAAATCTCTGAATCTTGACCACCTCTCCTCGGTGCCAACCCACACTGTTGATTACACATTTACAAGAAAGGATATGCAAAGATGGCCAATTCCGTTTCATGTATTTCACAGTTGAATCACTGAATTGTTTGGGTTGAAAAGGAACTAGGTGATCCAGTTACCTGCCATGGAAAGGAACATCTTCCATTAAGCCTAAACCCTGAAATTATTCCTACCTTTTCTAGGCACCTGAAAACACATATTACTTCTAAGGATCTGGCTTCACTGCATGCATGACCATACCAAGAACTTTATCACTAATTGCTTGTGAATCAACAGTAGGCAACACCCTGTACCTTTGTTTAACGAGATACTATCTGTAAATACGACCATACCAAGAACTTTATCACTAATTGCTTGTGAATCAACAGTAGGCAAGATCCTGTACCTTTGTTTAACAGAGATATTATTTGTAAATATTATTTGTATTATTTGTAAATAATATCTCTGTTATAAAGTAAAATCCACTCTAATCTGATTTAAAATAGACAGAAGCCCACACTCTTAATTTTAAAAATAAGCTGCCAAGGTAATCAACAGCAGCACTTGCCAAGGTTTTCATCCAGTGAGAAATATCCTTCTTCTACACTCTTCAGCAGTAGCATCTAAAAGATCCAATAAGGAACAAAAGTTCCAAACATAACTTCCCTGCAGACTTGCTTCAAGCAGTGCTGCTTCCTGGGGATCAGTGGGAGGCTGCTTGGTGCCTCACTTTCAGGAGCAATTGGTGAAACACAAATTAATGCAACCAATAGATGGTAAAATGATTGGTGGGATTGGTCTTTAATGTCACCCAGCATTTCTGGTATTTCTCCATTGCTGAGTGCCTGGTTTCTCAGTATGAACATCCTCCAAGTGTGTTTCCTACTGATGGTATAAAAAGGCTGTGACTGCACTCACTTAAGCATCTTGTTCACAGATGCCCAGAACTGCACATGGTCAAGATAAAGTCCTTCCACTGAGGCTGAGAAAATGGCATCCTGTCAGCACACTGCAACCTCTGCTCCTTCTGGATTTCTCTCTTTTACGAAGGCTATGAAGATGTCCAATTGTCCAAAGTCTAGTCACGGGCAACTCTTTCAACCTCCTCTTCACTATCTTCCAGATCGTTCATATTTTAATCCAAAGGTGATGCCCAAAGGGTGACCACTTTCCTTCTGCCCTCCTCCAGGTAAAGTACAGGAGGGTGAGAAAGTGTTGATCCACGCTGGAGCCAGCGGGGTTGGCATGGCAGCCATTCAGCTGGTGAGACTGGCAAAGGCCATTCCCATTGTGACAGCAGGAACTCAGCAGAAACTGGAAGCAACAGCAAATGCTGGAGCGGCTGCAGGGTTCAACTACAAGAATGAAGACTTCAGTGAAAAGGTCTTGGAGTTCACCCAAGGTAAAAACCTCTCTGTGAAAGTGGGAATGGTCCTCCCAACACGTGGACTCAGTTTCAGCTGTCACCTGGTGAGGGAGCAGACAGTGGTGACCCTGGAAGCACAACCTGATATCCTGCTCAGCCCAGAACAGGCCTTTCCTTAGTTTAATTGTGCTGTTTTCTGCATGGGCTCTCTTTGGCTGTGTTCATTTGGGATATAAATAGTGTGCCATGTTATTGCTACCTCCCTGAGGAACTGTGGGACCAAATCCCTGCATTTTGGTGTTTGACTCATCACAGAAGCACAGCATGGCCTGGGTTGGAAAGGGCTTTAAAGATCATCTCATTCCAATGCCCTGCCATGGGCAGGGACACCCCAGCTTGCTCTGAGCCAAATCCAACTTACCTTGAACATTTCCAGGGGTGGGGCACCTACAGCTTCTCTGGGCAGCCTATGGCAGTGCCACTTTACTCTTAAACTGTTAGAAAAATGTAGCTTTTCTAAGCATTTGGGGTTTGCTTATGGGTAAGTGATGGTTCTTTTCTTGTGCCTGATTCCGTAATTCCTTACAAACCACTGTGCCAATTCCTAATTTCAGTAGAAAGATTTAAATAAGAATTGTAGGGCCAATTCTGTACCTATAAATAACACGGTTTTAGTCTTGCATGAAATTATCCTACCCTTAATGAAGCTTATTCATTGCTAAAATCTTTTCTGTTTCTACTTGAGGTTCTGGAGTAGATATTATTTTAGATTGTGTTGGGGCCTCATACTGGGAGAAGAATCTGAACTGTCTGAACACCGATGGCCGGTGGATTATTTACGGACTGCTGAGTGGAGGTGAAGTCCATGGGGATTTGCTGGCAAGGCTGATTTCCAAAAGAGCCAGCATCCACACGAGCCTGTTACGGTCCCGAGACAAGGAGGCAAGTAGTGGCTATCAGCAGTTTGATCTTATAATTTATTATAGTTTTGAGAGCTTTCGTTTAAAACCAGTGTTAAACACATTCTTGTGTGTTAAACAGTGTTAAACACATTCTTGACAAAAATGCCCCACCTTGAACTGTTACTACATACTTTGGAAAATGTCACAAAATTAAGTTGTAAATTTTTTTCTATTTTTATCAAATTCCTCCCTGAATGAGAGGAATGACAACCAGGACTTCTTAATGTGCTTCATGGATGCCATAATTTAGATAATTGGCCCTAGAAGAAATAAAACTGTAGTGACTGGGCAACTGGATCAAGTCTGAGGAGGGAAAAATAAAAATCTCTATTAGATCACTTCAAAGTAGAAACCAAGGCCATTTGGATGCCGAGTACCAAAGAAAACTCATTTTATGTGGAATGTTCTCAGATGTGACAGTAAAAGACCCACAGTGCAGAGCCCTAAGGTGGATTCTGTGCATGGTTTAAGACAGAACATTTACAAGACCTTTATCATTTTGATTTGAATGGTTCTGCAGGGAGCTCACACCACTTGCTTTGGGGAATTTCATTCAATTGAGATGTAATAAATCTAAAAGCTTTCTTCTTGTTTGTAATTTAGACCTGTCAGGTGTTTTTATCTCCGTTTCACTGGGAGAATGTCAGAAGGTGTCTCCTTGAGGGCCGTGTACACTATTTACACGCCGTGCTGTGAGACGCCTCACTCGGTGAGTGAAGCGCTGTCAATAACCTTGCGGTGTCTCTCCCCAGTACAAGCAGCGGCTGGTGAGAGCCTTCACGGAGGAGGTGCTGCCCCATTTCTCCGCGGGGGCTTCCCCCCGGCTCCAGCCCCTCGTGGACAGCGTTTACCCCCTGCACGCCATCGCTGAGGCGCACAGAGCCATGGAGGAAAACAAGAACATCGGCAAAATCGTCATCGAAATCCCCGTCTGCGTCAAGAAAGGGCCGCCGCAGTAGCTGCTGCGGGACAGTCACTGCGGGGCCGCTTCTGCTCCCGATTCGCGTGGGGGGCGAGGAGGGGGAGAGGATAAGGAGGAAGCGTTTATTAAAGAGGTTCATGCGGAAATTGTGGCAGCGTAGTGCAAACGCGAGGGGCCGGGACTGAGGGCCGGGACTGAGGGCTGAGGGGCGGGGTTGAAATAAAGGGCGGGCCCGGGATCGCGTCACGTCAGGAGGGCGGGCGGGGCTCCCGCGCTGCCGCTTCCCGCGCGGTGCCCGCCGGGACGGATCCGGTTCCGTGAGGGGAGGCGCGGTGCCCGCCGGGACAGATCCGGGTGTGCTGCCCGAGGCTCCCGGTCCGCGCCGCTGGCCCCGCTCCGGGCTCGGTCCCCGCCGCTGTCTCCGCCCCAGCCTCCTTCCCCGCCGGTGTTTCTCCCCCAGGCCGCGGCCCCCACTCACCGCCCGCCGTCATGGCGATGCAAGCAGCCAAACGAGCCAACGTGAGTGCTGCCCTGTCCCTGCCGGGCTGGGCTCTGAGGGAGCGCGGCCGGGGCGGGACTGGCTGGTGTTTAAGGCCCTTTCCAGCCGCAGCCATCCCGCGGCTCGGTGGTTCCGTGGTTTTGCCCCTCGGCTGCTGGGGTTAAGGTTTGGCTGCTGCCCTGGGCCTGACACACCGCCTGTTCTTCCCCCACCAGATCCGGCTCCCTCCGGAGGTCAACCGCATCCTGTACATCAGGAACCTGCCGTATAAAATCACGGCCGAGGAGATGTACGACATTTTTGGGAAGTACGGGCCCATCCGGCAGATCAGAGTGTGAGTATTTCCCGTTCCTTCGGACCGTGAAGGGTTTCACGGGCTCCAGTGGCTGCTGCGTTTCACAGCGGGGAAGGTTCAGGGCCCTGGAGCCCCGAGTGCCAGAGGGAGATGTGATGATGCTCTTAACACGTGAATCTGTTAGAAGATTGTTCTGCTGGGAGGTGCAGAGAATGAGCTTAAGTTTTAAATGAACCCTGGGAAGTTGATGAGAGACTTGTTTGCTTAAGTAAGTTTCAAATACAACTGAAGTTTTACCTTGTCTTGGGGCGAAAATAGGAAAGGCAGAAGCTGAGCACTAACAGTTTTCCTGTTTTATGATTATCTGCTAACCAGTGGGAGAACAGGGATGTTGCTGTTGCTGGATCTGTTCACTAGAAACACACACCAGCAGCAAGCCCTGCGTGGCAGAGCCAGGGTGTCCTGGGGCCATTCTAGGTCTGGGTAGTGGAGATGTGACTGTGCCTTTGGCTCTGAAATGTGTTCTGGAGGTTGTGCAAGTCTGCAGCAACTCTGATGTTCCTCTCCTGGTTAGTTCAAATGCTGAGGACCTGAGTTTGTGTTGGAAGGGACCTTGAAGACCATTTATTCCACCCCCTGCAGTGGGCAGGGAAACCTTCCATGTGCTCCAGGTGCTCTGAGCACCATCCAACCTGGCCTTGAACGCTCCTAGGGATGGAGCATCCACAGCTTCCCTGCGTGACTTGTTTGATTGATTGTTGTGTAGAGCAAAGTGGGTTCTGCAGAAAGCAAAGGACACCAAGGGGACACGTGCTGCTGGTGCCATGCTGGGATGGGACACCAGGCAGACCCTTCTTGAGCAAGGAGGGGCAGAGGATGTGCCTAGAGAAGTGGCTGAGTGTGAACACTGCCTGCCTAAACAGGTGGAATTCTTTGCTAATGAGCATCAAGGAGAGCCAATACTTAAGTTTTCTGAAAACATATGGGTTGGAACAGCATGATAGTGGGACACAGTTAGGATGTATGAGGGGCTCTCCATTGGGGTGATGCACCCAGCAGTTTGTGCAGAACTACTAATTGATGCAATTTCCCCCAGAAATCCCAACATCCTCAGTGCCAGGGTGTGTAAGCCCCTCTGTAAGGCTTTTGTGCTTTGTGCAGTGTTTATCCCATTGTCCTCCTCACCTTTGCACAGATCCCAGGGTGACAGCATCTGTCCATGGGCGTTCTCAGTTCACCTTAGGGAAGCTGTTCTGACTGTGAGGTCTCTGTCACTGTCTGTCAGTGGAGACCTCTGGGATGTCTGCAGCCCCTCTGTTCCATGCCCAGCCCTGTGTCCCATCCCTCAGGCAAAGGACATGGAGCTGGTGCTCCCGTGAGTGGTGGCTGTGCCTCAGCAGTGGGCTTGCACCACGGGGCTGTTCTGCCTCTTGAGTTCACTTTGTGGTATGCCAGGAGCCCTGCTGCATCCTAGGGACACAGCTGAGATTTAAATTATTTCCAGACACAACATGGCAGCCCTTCAACAGCCCAGTTGTTCTGGAAAGGTGCATCTCCCTTATGGAGCAAAGTACAGCACATTTTCCTGTTGTCTCTGGCTCTGAATGTTTGGTGTGGAAAGCAGGGATGTCGTTTAATACCTAGAAAAAACAACAAATTGGTTTTTAGTGACGTTGCATTAGTTGATCTAATCTCATTCACTGTGAAATAAATCAACTATTTCCTGTTCATTTTATTTGACCTTGCAGTGGGAATACCCCAGAGACCCGAGGAACAGCCTACGTGGTGTACGAGGACATCTTCGATGCCAAGAACGCCTGTGACCACCTGTCAGGCTTCAACGTGTGCAACAGATACCTCGTGGTTCTGTACTACAACGCCAACAGGGTACGGGCACCTGCTCGGGCACAGCTGGCACAGAGAAACAAGCCCAGCATCAGTTTGTAAAGACTGTTGCTTGGGTGTTTTTAAGAAATAGAATCCAAACTGGTAGAGGGACTGAACAGGATACGTGGTCAGAGTTTCATATTTACTTGGTGGTTTGTGTGCAAAAAAAAAGCACCTTTGGACAAAGGGTGGGAAAAACATATTTGTGGAAAGTGTACTCTGGAGAAGAGGGTGCAGAGGCCCCACAATTGCACAGCTGCAGCAGGAGGTGAGATCTTATTTTTGGGTAAAAACAAGTTCTCTGTGTCCTCCCTATCACCAGTGACATCCAGGGCCCTGTGACATTCTCCAAGGACAAGAATCCAACAATGCTCTGTGTGTGTGATGGTGATGGAGTTCACAGTGGTGCTTGTTGCACATAACTGGGAAATAACTTGTCATGAGATGAGAGATTTCTTTTGTCTTCTTACATCTTTTATTTTCCTAATTACAGGCATTCCAAAAGATGGACACAAAGAAGAAAGAAGAACAGCTTAAGCTTCTCAAGGAAAAATATGGAATTAACACAGACCCACCAAAATAAGCTGATCCTTTTTGGAAAACTCTTTTCAAGCCCTGACATCGAGTTCTTGGCCTAAACGTAGGAATTCTTAAAGTGTAATATTTTTCTCTTATGAATTTGATAAACTGCAATATGAATTTTTATATTAGGATATATATAGGATTAAATAAATGTAGAACAGAGGGAGCTCTGCTTTAAGATTAAATCTCCCAAGATGACATGGCCTCCCTGTGCTGAGGATGATCTGGTAAAGGCTGCAATGTCCTGTTTCTAGGAGGAGCTTTCAAAAGGGACTGAGCGGGTTCTGTATTTGACTGAAGAAAGCAAGCCCAAGCCCGTGTTTGTAACAAAGTTTCTTCCACAAGCTGTAGAAGACAACAACTTTTAAAAGGATCCAGCTGATAAGGGGAATCCAGTCCAAGTACCTTGTTCCTAGTGATGGTACCAGCTCTGATCAGCTGCAATGAAACAACCCAGCTCTCACACTACAAAAAAAAAAAAAAGTGTGTGGGGGCTTTGTTCTGTGTCCCGGGTTTGGACTGAGGATTTGCTATGGATTGAAGAACACGTGACCAAAATGAGACTGGATGAAGGTTTTCACTTTGATACCTACCTACAGTGTGATTGTTTTCTACTCGGCATGGTTGAACTGTAACACACTTTCTCTACATACATTTTTAGGTGTAGCATGTGGTAGAGAAAAAAAATTTACTTTTTTTTTGGCTCTTTTTTCAGTACTCATATTCTGTGTATAAAAATGAGTGTGATCCATGTTGTGCATAGCCAGTACCTTTTGGAAGTGGGAAAAAATAACCTCTGCCTGTGTTCTGAACCGGCTGGAAGTTGTGTGCATGTGGGTAGTATCCTGCCTTGGGAGGATTTATTTGTGTGGATGTGATGTTCCACTCCTGACCAGACAGCTTCCAGCCAGTGCAGAACCAGGGCAGATCACAATATACTTTGCCTGGGATTTGTAATCCAGTTTTGTTTTTCAGTGCATTGTGCTGTCATAAAGGAGTGCTTCCTTTTTCTGAAATTACTTTTTTGTTGGAATCTGTCACTTCAGGAACAATGCTGTGTCCATTTGGTCAAAAAATAAATGCATATTTTGCTTTTCTTCATCAAGGCTGTGCTGCTTCTGCCTGTAACCTGTGCTGTTAGATGGGAGTCATTCATCAGTGTTTGATGCAGGCAGGAGATGCAGCTGCTGTGTGTGACAGGAGGGTGCCCAGCTGTGGGAGCAATGCCCACATCTCACCTGGAGGAGATCCCTGGAGCTGCCCTGTGCTGGGCACCTCCTTTGGCAGCTGGAAGGGGCTCACAGCAATACTCACATTTACTAGCTGGAACCAATGAGAAACTAAAGACTCATAATTTTGCACTAAATGGTCCTATTCATTCCTCAAATAAACAATTACAAATTAATAAATCAGGTGCTACAAAGATAAGTTCAGTAATGGCTCATGAAGAGTGAGCTCCAAGCCAGCTCTGGGGAAAGCAGCCACGATGGCTGAGGTGTGATTTCAGCTTTGGGTGGGTGCTTGAAGTCCTGTCCTGTGCCTGACCCTGGAGCACACTGGAACAGATCTGCCCTGCCTCCCCTGCACAGGCACTGGGGATGTGAGCCAGAGCCATACTTAGTGCACAGTTCTCCCAGATCTGCATCTGTGCCTTGAAACTGGTGCTGTTTTTGCAGCAAGAAGCCTTGCAGGCTGCAGTAACCCCAGCTGAGGTCAGCAGCAGGCACTGGGAGGGCTGGAGCCCAGAAGCTGGGTTAGGGGAGCAGCCCCTCCATGGCCAGCCTGGCTTCCAGGTCCTGCCCGTCAGGTTAACACAAACCAAGAGCTGTCAGACAAGAACCAGGCTGCATTAAAAATCTTTAAATGAATTAAATCCTTCTGGGGGATTTGCTTTTATATGACCATCCACAGCTTTTCAATGGTTACAAACTGCTCTGCCCCCAAATATGTATCTTTTATATATATAAATATATATATTTATATGTGCCATGTATATACATACACTTCCATGCACCAAACACTTGGATAACTGAAATCCCTTACACCAACTGCTGGGCATTGAGAAGGCTCCTTGCTGAAAGGAGAACTGGAGGTGCTTGTTGCCATGCTGGATTTATGGTTCTGATAAATAATGAACACTGATAATAAATACCAGAGTGCCAATAATGGTGCTGCATGCTGCCAGCCTTGTTTTAAATCATATGCAAATACCACATTGCTTCTGTCAATAGCAGAGAGCTTGGTGCTTGCACTGCAGTGTCTGTTTTGATGAGGATTTGATGCTGTTTGAAAAACATATATAAAAAGCAATTCTTTAGGGTAATAAGATTAATAAAAATTCCTTCAATGAATCCTCAAGATCAGCAGCTTTTGATTTCTCTGAGAGCTCAGCTGCCGCCTTTCATTAAATATTCCATTTCATAGTTTTTCTTCCAGTGCCTGTTCAGGGCTTTCAATGTCCCTGCACATGTAAAATGAAATAATAATTTGTACCTGCAAGACAGAGGGAATGGAAATGGAATGCCCGGAGGACTGTTTTGATGAGATCTACTCAAGATTTTGTTTGAAATGTAATATCAAAGAACAGGGAAATGAGTTCAGCTCATGAATGGCAGAGGGCAGCAAATAAAGCAGATGTTACCAGGCTCGCACTCTGCATCTGTGCTGGTTTTGTGTGTGCTCACTTCCCATTTAATTTTTCAGGAAATAGGGCATGAAATTAAGACTTGAAGGTCATTTTTTTTTTCAATTAATCTGTTTAGAAATTAGTAACAAGAGCATATCTGATTACACAGGCAATGACAGTAAATTTTTTCCAATCTATTATATAGGGGTAATAATTATATGTACTGTGTTGATCGATGATACAATTAAATAAATTAACGCATTCGCAGTCGAATAAAGAACTGAAGATTACATTTCCTTGAAGACTTAATTTCCCTAAGTATCACAAAGCACAATTAGTTTTCCTTTCAGATTTTTCCTTTTTAATGAAATTGGCATGAAAAATGTAATAGTCCGTGTTTCCAACCAAGGTCTCCGCAGAGAGGAGGCGATGAGGGAGAGCTTCATCAGCCAGCTGTAATAAGGATTTTGCAGAGTGGGTAATGGCTGGTTTGTGCTGGGAGAGCAGAAGGGAAGGGCACAGTGGCAGCTCTGCAGATAGAGGTGACAAGATAAGTACAATCAGCTCTCAGAGCCCAGCAGGAACGTGCTGGGTTTGCTGGTGAGAAACCCGCAGGAGCAGAAGGGCAGAGCCATGCCCTGCCCATTGCCTCAGATGCAGCAGAAGCTCCCAAGCATGGCCCAGAGGGGATGGGGGGAGCATGGGGCCATTCCAGGGTCACTCACACAATCCTTGGCATTGCCATTCGCTGTTGGGACATTCAGAAAGGGGCCCAAAACAGGTGCTGGTCTCTGGTGAGACCCCACCTGCAGCTCTGGGGTCCCAGCACAGGGAGGATGTGGATCTGTTGCAGCAAGTCCAGAGGAGGGACACCAGGATGATCAGAGGGATGGAACACTTCTTCCATGAGGAAAGGCTGGGAGAATTGGGATTGTTCAGCCTGGGAAAAAGAAGCTTTGGGGTGACCTAACTGTGGCCTTCCAGTACCTGGAGAAACGTGACAAGAAAGATGCAGAGACTATTTACAAGGACATGGAGTGACAGGACAAGGGGGAATGGCTTCAAACTAGCAGAAGGCAGGGTTAGATCATAGATTAGGAAAAACATTCTTTATTGTGAAGGGTGGTGAGACACTGGCAAAGATTCCCCATAGAGGCTGTGGATGTTCCATCCCTGGGTGTGTTCAAGGCAAGGCTGGATGGGGCTTTGAATGACCTGGTTTAATGGAAGGACCTTAAATTATCTTTAAGGTCCCTTTCAACCCAAACCATTCTGTGATTTATCACACTTTGGGTTTTTTGGTTTTTTTAATAAGCAATTAACTTAAACTGGGCCATTGACAGGAACAGCTTAGACCAATGTGCTGAATCAAACTGTGTTTGACAGGCACAACACAGCCACACCACCCTTAACCAAGACTTTGGGAAGTGCAATCTGTGACCCAGTGGTGAAAGGAAGGCCAGCAACAGAGGCCAGGGCACTGGCAAAGGAGAGCAGAACCTTTTCAAATTATTTGGGAAAGCTGGTGGACATCAGATCCTGACAGATACAATTACCAATTTTTAACAGGAAATTAGCATGTCCTAAGAACTACTAGTGGAGATGTAACTCAGCTGCTGCAGTGACCTGAGATTCCCACCAAAAAAGGGGTTTTGAAAATCCCTTCATTTCTTTATGGAAAGCAGAGAAAAAAATTTATTCCACTCAGCTGTATAAAAATCTGTAAGATATGGATTTATGGGTTTATTAATTAACAAGCTGAAATAAATGCAGCTCTGTGGGTAAAATGAACACCTGGAGGGAGAAGACCACGAGCCATTGTCCCCAGCCAGATCACCAGTCTTGCTTCTCCATGCTCATTCCCTCTCCCAACTCCAGAAGTGTCACCTGGGGTCATCTCTGTAGCTTTGCTGTCTGACTGCTCATGCTGGGAGTGTTCTCCTTACACAGATACAGAAACAGCACAACTCTTTGAAATATGACCATTAAAACATCTGTTAGTAGAAAATCATGCAAATAGTTTATACTCAAGTTAAATAAAAGTAACATCACGACCCTGGTTTTCTACAGAAAAGAGGAAAAATGAGCCTAATGGAAATAAATCAGACAAGGCAAAATAACAGCACAGACCTTGCTGATGAGGTCCTGCTCCCAAATTCAGGTAACAGCCAACATATCTTCCTGCCTCCAGAGGAGAAACCAGCATTTCATGAATTCATTTAAGCAGCAAATGTAATAAATATTGCTGAGTCTCAAGTGCCAGAGGCCCAGTGCACAGTCAGTTTTCAGGCTTTGTAAACAGCAGCAGCTGCTACAGCCTAAAAACCCCAGACTGTTCAGTGGCCACAGCTCAGATTTCTTTTGAAAGGTGGATACACATAATGCTGCTCTTTTCTAGCCTTGCTCAGCCCCAGTAGAAAATATTACACTAGTTTTGCTGTTGTAAAGGCACAGAATTAGACCAGCATTGCATGTCTTTTACAAGCAGCACTTTCCATCTCTTCGGCAGCCAAATTTTGGCCAGAGTTGAGGGGCCATAACGGCAGGGAAAATGGAGAGTCAGGAAGATTATCCCAGCACCCTTACTTGCATGTCCCTGGTACCTCTGGTCCCACAGAGATCTTCCACTGGGCCATCTCTAATAGAAGCAGTGCATGGAGCTACATGTATTGCATATAAGAGAAATAATTAACAAAAAATGGGTTGATGATTGAAGAACTTCTTGTACAGTAAAGAGCATCCTGGTAGCCAAAAGAGAAAAACAGGATGAGAAATGGTAAAGTATCAAGATTTTATTGTTTTATATATATATACTTATAATTCTTAAATGTGACAGTATTTTTTTAAAACAGCAGCAAGCAGAACGTACAAGTTGAGAAAAGTGGCAGCGCAGGTAACTCTGTTTGGCTAATGCCCGTTCATGTACAAGGCGTACATTGGATTTTTTTCTTTTGAGCACCTTTTGTGGTTATTTTTTCTTGGTTTAAGTGTACAGTAAGGCAGTGGTTTTTTCAATAAGGAATATATATATATATATATATTTATATTTATATATATTTTCAGTCATCACCGTGAATTCTTCGTACATGCAAATTCAATAAAATGTACAACTCGGAAATGTTACACCGGGAGACATTTTTCCTCAGAGCAAAGCTTCTAATAAAAGGCAAATACAGACACCACAAAGTTATAAAAGAGAAGGAAGGCATAGGAAACCAAGAGTCAGGCGCTACTGACAGGACAGCTTGAGCAGGGAAGGTTGGGATTCCAGTGAAGATTCCTCCCACCGCTGGCAAGGCAGGAAGGAACGGATGGTTATTAACAGATGTCTCCAGCCAACTCCTCGGTAAGGTTCACTCTAACCTGAGAAGCTCCACATCAAAGAGGAGCGTGGCATTGGGAGGTATGACCCCAGGGTGGCCTGTGGCTCCATAGGCCATCTCAGGTGTGCAGGTCAACTTTGCTCTCTGTCCTAAGCTCATCTGCGTTTTGGACGTTGGAGAAAGGAAAAGAGAACACACAAAGAAAACAGGATTAGGAGGAAAACAAAAAAAAATCATTACCTGGCAGATTTACAGAATCAAGGAGTGTTGGGATCACCAGATTAATAGAATTGTTTAGTTTGGAAAAGACTTTTTAAGACTTCTATTGAGTCTGGGGCTTGGAAGAAGATCTTTGAGGTCCCTTCCAACTCAAGCCACTCTATGATTCTGAATCCAAGTGGTTTCACTTCAAGCTGAAGCTGCCACAAGCAGCTCAGACATGGGCATGGGCCTCCTCAATGATCTGCCCTCTCACAGCAGTTATTTAAACTGCCAGAACCAGCCTGGAAGTGACACAAAGTTTTTTTAACACAATGCTTGGTCCATCCTGCCTATACTGGGGCAGGCTGCAGGAGGTCTGAGCTCTTCCTGCAGAGCACAGGGTACAAGGAGCACCATCAGCAGGCACAGGGAAAAGGCCCTCAGAGCCATTCACGAGAGATCAGTGTCCAACACAGCCAGGTTCAGCACTTATTTCCCTAAACTCAGCCCAAGTCCCAGGGCAAACATCTCACTTATGCTACTTATCCAGGTAGAGAGCCCTTGCCTCTGGATGGGCAGGAATTCTAATTTCCCTCACTCCAAGCTGGCTCTGAAGGGAACTGAGATCTGGAGTTATCTTTTGAGTATTTTGGAACATTTTCAAACTGCTGTTCATGCACCAGACACTGGTGATGGAATATTCACTGGCCAAGAAACATCCCCTGGTCTGAAGCAGTGATTTTAACTCAGACCTCTCTTCCAAGGTTGGGCACATCACTGGACTACAGATTATGTGATACCTCCTGGTTGAGAATATTTTCATGTTCTATAAAATATACAAAGCTAGAGAGTCAATTACTTTGGGGAGAAGAAAAATGTGGATGTGAACTTCCCCACATTCAAGGAGTACTCAGGGCATGGGGCTGAGGATGTCCAAGCTGATGGCTCCCCTGGTCCCCACAGAGATTTTGTATGGGGCTGGCTGTGCAGTGCTTGGATGTGTCCCTGCAAAGCTGGCAGCTGGTAGGTCATGCCTGGGGTTTTAGGGATGAGGCAAACTTGAACTTTGAGAAGCTGAGCAGAGAAATGCAGACCCTGCTGACATCTGAATCATTACACCAAGGTTCGTGAAATCTGCGTGCTGAACACAGGGAACTGCCTTGTTCCAAGAGACTCTGTCCAGCACACTCCCCAAATCCCTGAAACCCTGGGCTGGAAGGAGACAGCCAGGAGCTCGACTTGTGTCAGAGATCCACTAGGAGGAGCAGGAGGGCAGCATGTGGCCACACGGGTTTCTGGCATGGCTCTGGGCCACTTATTTTCTAAGGGACAAGAGCTGGGGAGTGAGAGCAGTCAAGGAAGGGATGAATTGATTCACCCAGTGCTTGCTGATGCTGCTTTATCTGCACTGACTTCTGCTTCCTACAGCTCTGCAGTCCTGAGCTCTCTTAGGCCTTTCTGCAAAGCAAATAATAAACAGTCCAACTCAAATCCTTCAGAGGAAGATGGTATTTTTCACAGTCTAGGATTCCTCACATGGACTTCTCTGGCTGGAGAGAAGGGAATGTTTGCACTGCTTTCTCCATAGGGCTGGAAACCCTTGTCTCTTCCACCCCTTTCTGGAAAAGCATGGTTGCATCATTCCTCAGTGGATTGTTTCTCATTTTTCATTCTTCTCTTCTCTCTATTTAAGCATAAGAACTTGTTCCTGTTAAAGTTGTTCCTGTAAGAGTATTTGAACAGTTGCCTCCTACACTGAGCTCTTGGATCCTGAAATGGGAAGTCAGGAGAAATTTGCACCCTGATCTCATTCACTCGTGCTCTCGAGCAGCCTGATCACACTCCTCGTGTGTGGGGGCCCTCACAGCACTGCACAAAAAGCAAGACCTGGCAGTGAATTGTATTGTGGGGCTTTTACTGTGCTGGTACTCACACTGCAATTAATGGGGGCAGTTTTCTTTCTCTCAGCTTAGGGCTGGTCAGGGAATGTTTTGTAGCTGGGAGTCTGAAGTTGTAAAAATGTAACAGTGCAGTTTGGTACTTTATTCAGTCCGGGTCAGAATCTGTAGCTGGGTCATGGATGTCAGCAAAAAGGGCAGCCTGGGCTTCTATGGAGGAACTGAATAGAGGTCACTCCATAAAAAGCTGTCACCTCAGTGTTTTAGAGGCCACTGCTGTCTGTCTGTTTGCGGAGCTGCCCGTGGGAGAGGGACAGGGTTTATATGGCAGCTGGGGAGGGGACTTCACCTCTCCCCTCCCAAATCCATACCAGGGGGAAAGGCTCGTGAACAGGAGACAGCCCTGGGTGGATGGGTGGATGGATGGATGGATGGAAACTACAGGAAATACTGTGCTCAAATGCACCATGCTTTCACAAAAACACTCCATATCCTTCACTGTGATTTCCACTTGGTCTTGTCACCACTGCCCTGGACACTGAGCTCACACACTCTTCATCCAGCTCCAGGTTCAGCCAGAACAATTTATTAATACCTGTGTAACACCTTCTTCAAATCCTTTAATGACTTCTTGCCTGCCAATCTTGAACCTGAAAGGCTTGTTTCTGTCTCTGGAGGAATCAAACTTCTTTCCATTCTGTAGCATTCCTGCCAAAACAAGACACATGGTTTCAGTCTGAGATATATCTAAATTTAAGTGCTGGAGGAGAGGGAAAGAGTGAAAAATTAATGTCTTGGTCATATCAGCTGCTCATTGCAATTTTTATTTTAAAGCCTCATTCAAAAGGCAGAAGAGGCAACTGCAGTGGTACCATATTGTTACCTTTGCCCTCCTGCAATTTAGGCTCCAAAATGGAAACTATTTTTACTCTTCTCAATGCAACAGGTTATGACCCATATTGCACCAAACATTGCACAGACATACAGAAGAGCTGTTTGCACAGTGGAGCTCCCTGCCTAAGTGGATAAAAGCAGGCAAGGAACAAGTGGGAGGCAGCAGAAGAGAGAATCCCAAGACAGGTGCCTGATCCAGGGCTGCCCCTAATAAAGTGTGTTACACAAACAGAGCCGTCCCACACCACGTGTGCAAAACCTCTACACAACGTGACAACTGCATCTCTCTCCTCATACAGAGAGAACAGAAGAGACTCTACAGTCACAAATATGAAAGCAGCAAAGACATTTATATAAATGTTCTGCTACCCTTGTTCTTTGTGTTTTCATTCAGAGATGGTCACAGAAGATGTGACTCACTCCTCTGCACGGGCACTGTTTCCATCCATGGCTTTTGAGCACATGCCCAGATTCCTCAGCAAATGGACAAACCTTCACAGAGCCCTACATGATCAGCTATTCTCCTTGTCTTTTCAAATTGTGGCTGACTACAGTAGCTTTCAATTTAGAAGTACCTGGTACTTAAAATGCTTTACTCTGGATATTGCAATGTTGGGCTGATATTTATATGTTAGAATCAATCCTTTTTTGTAGTGCTGTAGAGCCAGTGTTGTGGGCATACCATGACTCTTCCATGCAAGGGGTTGCACAAAGAGCAGTTAATTTATCTGAAAAGACTCTGGTTGCAAAGATCATTAACAAGTCCAGCTTTGAAAGAAAATGCTGAGAAAAAGGGTCTTTAAGATCCAGTATCAAAGATACAGTCTTACTAGCTTCTTTCCATTACAGCAGTTATATTAACAGATCAGCTTGATGCACAAATTTTATTTTTCAGCGAAAACCATCAATTTGTGTCCAATAACAAAGAGGCATATTTTGCTTAGAAAGTCTGTACTAGGAATCAAAGGTAAATATGAAGAGATGTGCCAGAATGAAAAACTGAGACTAAAAAGGTAGGATTCATTTTGCCAACTTTTAGGCTTCTAGGACGTAGCCAGCTACTTCTGAGCTAATTACTCAGAGAAAACAGATAATCAAGTCAGAGAAAAATGCACTTTCAGGGAGCAATTCATCCAACCAAATCTAGGGATGTACATTAGGACATAATGAATCACATCCCAGCAGTGCCCATTTCTGTGCAATGAATAAAGGGCAGTCCAAACAACAGCTCAGACACAGATGTCTCCAAATTCATTAGTAGTTAAATCAGTGGCAATGGAGTTCTTGACTTGCAGTTATGAGCACACAGAGTTTGATTATTCCAGTGGGGTTCTCTGTCCAGATATTTTACATCAATATTAAAATCAAATGCCATATTAAGGCAAATTAGCCATTAGCCAAGTCCAACATTTGTCCAAGTTGGTCTTTCAGACATGTGCTATGCATGTGCTCAAGGCCTTGGAAAGAAAACTATGGAGCAACCTGCCCATCAGGAATGTTTCATAACCATTATCATTAGTGCCTGATATAATCCTTTAGTTTTTCAGAGTAAAATAGTGAAGTGTTGTTTGTGTGCTCTGATGCAAGTACATAGAATCCCAGAACCACAGAATCAACGAGGTTGGACATGACCTCTGAGATCAGAGTCCAACTTTGACTCAAAGCCACCTTGTCAAACAGAACATGGCACTGAGTACCACATCCAGGTGACTCCACCACTTTCCTGGGCAGCTCATTCCAATGCCTAATTACTCTTTCTGTGAAGCAATTTCTCCCAATGTCCAACCTAAACCTGCCCTGGCACAGTCTGAGGCCATTTTCTCTTGTCCTGTCCCTTGTTCCCTGGGAGCAGAGCCTGACCCCACCAGCTGCATCCTCCTGTCAGGGAGTTGTAGGGAGTGACGAGGTCCTGCTGAGCCTCCTTTTCTCCAGACTAACACTCCCAGCTCGCCCAGCCACTCCTCACAGGATTTACCCTCAAGACCCGTCCCCAGCTCCATTGCCCTTCTCTGGACTCACTCCAACCCCTCAAAGTCCTTCCTGAACTGAGGGGCCAGAATTGGACATGGAACTCAAGGAGTGACCTCACCAATACAGGGGGAAATTCACATACACTGAGCAATGTATCAGCTCAGTGATATCCACAAACCCTCCAGGCAGGCTGGGAAGCCACAGCAGCTCCTGAACAAGGTTTTCCAGCTACAGACTAAGATGGATTCATTTGTAATATAGAAATTCAGCCTGTACTGGGGGAGGGGAGGCAGGGAGAAGCAGCTCAGGGGGAACTCTCAGGCATATAATATAATCCTTTTTGAAGTATTTGATCTTAAATTTAAGTGACAGTCCTTCCTCAGAGCACTTTTATTTTTAAACATGTCACAAAACCTTATGATTCTATGAATTGGAAGGAGACTACTACAGAATCCCAATATTCAATAGTTTTAATATCAAAACTTAGTATTGTCATTACAGTTTGCATCTTCAAAGCAGTACGCAAACATTAATTAATCTTCACATTAGCCCAAGGATGTAAAGAAGATATTTATTATAAAATAGCCTCAATATGAAAGTTCAGATTCAGATGCAAAGTTCCACAACAGTTTATTATGCATTCATTTCACTTTGTAACTAAATCCTATTAAAGCTCTTAGCTTAAAGCCCTGATGGTTTACGAAACACCCCACATCAAACCAGTGATAGAAGCAGAATTAACTCTTCAGAGATTCTGACAACAGCTCCTGGACAATGTTTCCCATTTAAAGCAACATTTCCATCTTCTCATGAGCTTCCTAGTTTGATACATCATTTAAAAACTAATTAATTTCACTAGAAAATGCCCACAGAAGATGTGTTAGGCCTTGTAGAAGAAATCAGGCTTTTCTATATTTACAGCAACATCGTATTTTCAGCAACAACTGAAAATTCATGAGGTTATGGATGCACAAATGTAACTTCCTCTGCCATCACCTTACTGCTTTTGGAAGACAAGCTGGAATGCAGAGTCAAATGTGTCACTCAAGCTCTGGCAGGAGGGTCACTTTTTATGTGAGTGCCCTTTAAATGCACATCCAGTCTGGAAATGAGTCAGAGACTCCATGTGCCCTGAAGAAGTTCCGATGTGGATTTAGATGTGAACTTTAGATCTTTTTTATCTCTGATTCTGAGAGTTAGAGTTAGCTCTGCAGGCTCCTGGGAGCTAAAACAGCACAATGCTTTATTTTCTCTCTTGCTAATGCACCAATTGATTTTTTTTTTTGGTGAAAAAATTGATTTAGTTAATATTCTTCAACAAGGATGGATGCCCATCTTCAGCCTACATCTTTATTTATCTAGCTAATAGCAAGGAGAAAAAACCCCCACAATCTGGAACACAGCAATGGCATTGTTTTGCAAGTCAGAACAATCAATAAGAGTTTTTGACTGAGCAAGGACATCTAGATGCCTATAAGGCTACTTGTAAAAAAACCCTTATGTTTCTGAAAGGGAACAATCATTGTATTAAAATAATTAATTGTACAAACTTGGTTATCAGAATATGGCTTGGATTTGAAAACATTCTGATCTACAAGGCATCCTAATTGAAAACCAGGTTTCAAAAATTAAATGGATGTAGAAAAGGAGACATTTCAGATCATGGGTCCTACTGAATCACTGATGTTCAGCTCATTGAAGCTGCAGATTAAAGAGTAGCTGGATCATTTTATTAAGGAGCAAGACCACAGATCCAAACTGCCAGGACTACAATGCCATTTGGGCTAAACTGCCAGTGAAAACACAACTTTAGGAGAGGTTCAACACAAGTTATTACTTCTTATTAAAACACAGGTGTGCCTGCAGCTGTGTCTGCACTGCTTTTAACACTACACTGCTTCAGCTAAGATCCCATGACTGAAGTCTGTTTCCTAAGGGGAGAGGGCTAATGAAATGACACTGTCTGCACTTGCCTAATAATGTGTGAGTGATTCTTTGAGCCAATTTCAACCGCATTTGGCAGAGGAATAGGGATCATACCAACATTAAGATCCTATGCATGTGATGAAAAAATTTTGTGTAGAAAGAAGAGCCTGTAAGAGTTTCTACCAAGAGAAAGGCTCAGTCTTTATCAGAGAAACTCTGTTATTGAAGAGAGGTCAGGAATAGAAAGGCTGGACCACAGACTACGTTTCTTTTTGCTTACTTTTCTTCTTTCATCTGAGAAGGATTCAGCTGGGAATATCAGCAACCACACAGCACAAATCCATGGAGCCATCCCAGCTGTTAGACACCTAACACACCTATTATCCCAACAAAACCCTGCCCCAAACCATGGCCAAATTGTTATCCACACAAAGGATGGATGGAGAGAGAACACTGGAGGCCATCCATGGATATTCTGTTAAGATTCTGTGCCTGAACCTGGAAAATTCATGTGTAAATTCTACTGCTAATGTTATCCACTTCAAAGGTACAAACTGGGTCTCAGCCTGGCATCTAGGCTACTCCTAGAGAGAAATGGAGAAAGAGGGGTATCTCCAAGAATGATTCATCCCATCTAGATTTAGATGTTAGGGCTGAAATAACCTTATGGAACTGTTTATCATTCTCAGTCAACTATCTTAAGAAAGGAAAGGTACCTCAAACCAAATGCTAGACTGCCAGGATTTTATAGGGCCCTGGAGAGGCAGTAGGAACTCAGTCATCCATCCCTCAATGAAACAGGCAAAATTGCATGCCAGGCTTCACTGACTCCAGTGTTTACTGAATTATTTGTCTCTGCAGTGTTGACAAATTCTGGGAATCAGAAGATGAAGATCCTAATCCAGGACAAATGTCTT